ACCGAGCTTGAAACCATGCCTTTACAAGAGACGGTGATGTGTTTGTCAATTGCAATGCATATACGGTACTGCAATGCTAATAAGACGAGAATGTGGAAGACTCTCAAGATCGGAAGTGTTGTTTCATTGATGGTGGTTGGGGTACAAGTAGCAAACCCTAACATACGTACCCCCAAAGACACATCTCACTACAGGCTACCAACATTTGACACACCCCCATAGCCTAAGTGAGGGGTGTCTAGCAAAACCAAAAGAGTACGGTCACAAGACCAGTCACAAAGAAACAAAGCTCAGGGTGGATCACAACGTCACCACAAACTCTGAGCACAAGCAACAATGGCCACAAGGCCAGTCCAAACAATAACAGAGATATATAGAAAGGGTACAAGCAAAGCAAGCAGTGAACTCAAGACTAAGTAAGCCGAAAACCAGTGTCAACAAGGCCTAACTGCACACAACACCTGTGGTGGTCACAAGGCGGAAGCGCCTTAGTGAAGATGTCTGCAGTGTTGGCCTCAGACTCCACAAACTCGAAGCGAGCCTGTCCACGCCTCTGCAACTCTCGCAGAAGAAAGTACCTGACGTTAATGTGCTTCACTCTGCTCTCTAGTCGCGGCTCTCGACAAAGGAGAATGGATGCCTTGTTGTCAGTGAACAAGGTCGGTGCAGAGCTCGGCCGCTCACCCAGGTCGGCGAGCAAGAACGTCAACCAACGCAGCTCCTGTGCCGCCATGGCACCAGCGTAGATCTCAGCCTCAGCTGTAGAGGTCGAGACCGAAGAGGAGCGCGTGGACCGCCAGGAAACAGCTCCAGAACCCAGACTGAAACAGTACCCCTGAGTAGACCTGTGAGTCTCAGCGTCGTCAGCGTAAGAAGAGTCACAGTGACCAGTAAGTACAACAGACTGCTGCCCTCCAAGAACTAGCCCCACGCCTGATGTCGTCGCTAGGTACTTCGCCACCCTCACAGCTGCTGTCCAGTGAACAGGACGGTGTCTCCCTGGCGCAACAAAGCGCGCAAGGATGCTGAGAGGGAAAGCGAGGTCCGGGCGAGTACAAGTCATCAGGTACATGAGGCAACCCACAAGCTCTGCGTAGGGACCACTAGGCTCAAACGGCTCGTCAGGAAAGGGGCCAGTGAGTCTGTGGTCAACAGCAAGAGGTGTGCGCTGTACTGTGGAGTGCTGAAGCTCGAACCGCTGAAGGACCTGCTGCACCATGTGTGACTGTGAGAGTGTAATGGTGCGAGCAGCTCTGTCCCTGGTGATCTGCAGCCCAAGGTAATGGCGCAGCTCACCAAGGTCAGTGCACGTGTGTCTCTTCTGCAGTTCGGACTTCACGTCTGCCAAAGCAACCCTGTCAGCAGTGGCGAAAACTAGGTCGTCGACGTAAACCAGAACGAAGAACGGTGTGGAGCCACGGCGAATGAACAGCGACGGGTCGGCAGAAGACGGCTGGAACCCAAGGTCAGAGAGGGTAGAGCGAAGAGTGTCGTGCCACTCACGAGGTGCCTGGCGAAGACCGTAGACAGGTCGCCTCAGCCTCCACTGGGTCCTAGGAGGGAAAGTGCCAGTGAAGGCAGAGGGACGACGCAGCCAGACCTCCTCGTGTAGGCTGCCCTGAAGAAAAGCAGTGGAGAAGTCGAGAGAGTGTAACTCGTAGTCTCTCTGTGCTGCTACGTGCAATAACACCCGAAGAGTGGTCATCTTCGGGGTGGGCGCGAAGGTCTGAAAGAAGTCAACTCCCTCGCGCTGACTGAAACCTCTAGCAACGTAGCGCGCCTTGAAGACTGGAGGAGATCCTGGTGGCCGCTTCACCCTGTAGATCCACATGCCATCGACTACGTTCGTCCCAGGGGGAGGAACCTCATCGACGTAGGTGCCTGTGGATCTGTAGGAGGCCATCTCTGCGTCCATGGCAGCTCTCCACTGAGAGGCCCAAGGCCCTGACACTGCCTCAGCGTAAGTGCGAGGAGTCGGAATGTCAAGGGCGTCAGGGTCACCCTCAGGGGTGAGGAGCATGGCACAGAGATGAGGGGAAGCGACTGCCAGGAACTCTAGCTCAAACTGCCTGTCCTCTAGGACGTCACAGCCAAGGGCAGACACACCCCCGACGGCCAGAGGACTGGTAGGAGGAGCAGCCACAAGAGTGGTGGCGTAGTCAAGGCGGCGAGTAGAGGCAAACTCAGTGACCGCGGCAGTAAGAGCAGAGACAGAGGACAAAGAGGCACGAGGGTGGGTAACAAGAGAGGCGAGAACACGAGAGAGAACAGGACGGTACGTGCGGTAGTAGTCAGTGACAGGGGTAGAGAGAGAAGCTGTGAGGGCCGACTCAGGAGGAGAAGGAAGCACAGGAGGAGCCGAACGAGACGGACTAGAACGTAACAAGACAGTACGAAGGTCAGTGAAAGGAACAGGGGACGAGGGACGAGCACGAGGAGAGCGACGAGTAGCCCAAGTACGAGACGGAGGAGGAGAGGACAAAGGCGGAGAACTGGGGAAAACAGCGGGGGAGGAGTCAGGAGGAGGAAACGTGGGACCGTAGACAGGAGGAGAGGCGGGGGAGGGAGGAGAAGGAGAGGGGAGACCAAGGGTCCGAAGACCTGAGACAGGAGGAGGAAGTGGCTGCTGCTGCTGCTGCTGCTGCTGCTGCTGCTGCTGCTGCGGCTGCGGCTGCTGCTGGGACTGCTGCTCCTGCGGCTCCAGCTGCTGCTGCTGCTGCTGCTGCTGCTGCTGCTGCTGCTGCTCCTCCAGCTGCTGTAACTCCCTCTCAGTCAGGTACTCAGCAGCAGTGCGAACCTGAGCAAAGTGAGCCTCCTCAGACTCGGGGAGAAGGGTGCTGAGCGCGATGCAGGCCGCAGCGTCACGCGACGTCCAGGCTGTCAGGTCAGCGCGCTGGCTAGCGAAGCGAGCTCTAGCGGCGTCGTCAGGGGCAGGACCTAAAGGCGTAGGGTCGGGGGGCGCAGGGAGGGCACCAGCAGCGTGCGCCCAGAGGGTCTCGCCTGACTGGACCTGACTCTCCAACTGACGGCGAGCGCGCAGAAGCCAGAGCGAAAAGTCAAGGGGTCTACCGTCAGCGTCGAAGCGAAGAACACGCGGAGTCGCCATCGTTAAAACCGACGGAAAAGCGGAGGCAGGAAACCCTAAACGAGATGGCGTGGCGAAAATCGGGCGGGCAAAGGGCGAAGCGTGAAACCCTAAACGAGGTAGAGGCGCATCTAAACGGGGGGGGGCGTTAAGGGGCAGCCGCGCGGGGGCTAAGGGCAGTCGCGCACGCGACGCGACGAGCAGCGAAGGCGGGCGCCGCGGCGACGGGCGCAGGCTGCGGGCGCGACGTCGGGCGCCGCGGCGGGCAGCGACGGCGGGCGCCGCGGCGACGGGCGCAGGCTGCGGCGGGCGACGGGGGAATGCGCAGCGGTGGCGCGCGTAAGGGGGGGACGGGCGACGGGACGACGGGCGGGGAGAGCGCGATTCGACGGGCAGCAAGGGGGGAAACGCGACTCGACGGGCAGCGGGGGGAAAAACGCGACTCGACGGGCAGCGGGGGGAAAAAACGCGACTCGACGGGCCTCGGAGGGGGGAAAACGCGATGGGCCAGCAGGGGGGAGGAAGGTCGCTACGCTACTCGAGTAGGGGATCGGCGGAACGGGCGGTAACGAAGGAACGGGACGAGAGCGGGCCGGCGCTAGGCTCGGGCAAGACGTGCGTAAGTAATACGAGAGAGGGAGACAGGCTCGGGCGATACGAACGAGGTCGGGAGGAACGGGATCCTACAGGATCCTAACCTAGGTGATACCATCTCAAGATCGGAAGTGTTGTTTCATTGATGGTGGTTGGGGTACAAGTAGCAAACCCTAACATACGTACCCCCAAAGACACATCTCACTACACGCTACCAACATTTGACAAAGACGTGGCTATATTACGTTACAAATAAATTGCAAAACTATTCTACATGTGCCGTACATTCCGTCTGCAGCTACTACGGTACTTACTCAATTTCTATACTGTACTTGCATATGCTTGCATTGATGGAATGAGGCAAGGCTAAATCTTGGGGAAAATATGTCAATGGTAACGATTTCAACGTGTACGGTAACTTATATGGGGCACTATAACGCGTACGGTAACGATTTCAACGCGTTTGGTAACTCGCTTAACGCGTTTGGTAACTCGTTTAACACGTTTGGTAACTCGCTTAACGCGTATGGTAATTATACACTATACACTAGTTACCATACGCGTTAAGCGAGTTACCAAACGTGTTAAGCGAGTTACCAAACGCGTTAAGCGAGGTACCAAGCGCGTTGAAATCGTTACCGTACGCGTTATAGTGCCCCATATAAGTTACCATTGACATATTTTCCCTAAATCTTGATACAAAAAAAATATGTTTCAACAATTGTACACCTTTTGTTCCTGCTTCATGCCCCTATTGACGAGTGCCTGCACTTTGTTTATGAGGTGCTGAGCCAGCTCATGAATCATAGGACGTTTTAACGAGTGCGGTATAGGGAGTTTATTTTGAGATGGCAACGAGTTTATGAAGAAGTCCGGTTACCAAGATTGGCGCTATCGGGTATGCGCATGTGGATTTGGTGGAGCGGCTGTGTGCAAACTACTGGTGGGTGGATGTGAACTGGGCGGCAGCGGCTGGGGCCGAAAGTTCTTCCCTGCTGCACAAGCTGTGACTACAACGGTTGCCAATCACCTTTGAGAATCCCGGCTGGGCCAAAGTGTGACTAGAGTGAGCGGTCCTCGGGATTGCCATCACCACTCTTTCGCAGCACAAGTGCTCTGATTTTCTCACACGGGTCTCGTAGTTTCCAGCGGATTATTTCCAGCATCAGTTTCCATATTTCCTTAGGGTTTCATAGCGCCCTTAGAGTTAGCGACGTAGAAACAGGTTGATTTCCTCTGGTTACGATAACGGTCGCGGCTTGGATTGTGCTGGGAAGGGAAGCAATAGGCGCTGTCGTGGAGGGAGGGAAGGTCTGGACCAATGGGCTCTGCAGCTGCTGGATGGTTGGACGTTACAGGTAATACGATTCAGGTGCGCGGTTAATGTTCAGATAATGCGTCGCAAGGTCTGGACTCATGGGATATGCGGCTGCTGGATGGCTGGACTTTACTCAGGTCAACAGCTAGGGATAATGATATTAAACGCGTCACAAGGTCTGGACCCATGAGCTCTGCTGCTGCTGGATGGCTGGACGTTACAGGTAGTACGATTAAGAAGAACAGCTAGAGATGATGACACCTTTCAGATAATGCGTCAAAGGTATCGAAGCGTTTCTGTTTGTATGCGATTACATTTTTTTTTTTTTTTTTTTGCGATTTTGAGACGTCTCAAAAAACGGGAATGGTTGGTTTAGATTTACTTAGAAGTCCACATTGACGGTATCGCAGGTACGAGAGGTTAGGACGAGGGAGGGCGCGCTGCGATATAGATATATGTAGTCGAGGATCATGTCGTCCCACACACACTGAAAGCGTTTTCGCTAGAATTCTTAAAAACATTGCATGCACCAACTAGGTTGCCGGATCAAGAATGATAGTCGAGGCTTGTCTCGTCCCCACATTATGGAACTGTCTACTTTTGAGGCGCGTATTCGTAACGCGCCTCAAAAATCCGCATACTTAGTCAAGTTTGAATAGATTGTTACAGAAGTTTCAAGGAGCGGGCTGATGCGGAAACGACTTCTCTGTTAAGTAAATACTCGTTTCGTTTGTTCAGTATTTTACGCATTCGTAAAGAGCGAGAAAAGAATGAGTGTCGTGAGCGTGAGCAATTAGGGAGCGGGGAGTTGGGGAAGAAGAGGGGAATAGGGGAGGGGGGGGGGGGGAGAGAAGGAGGGGAGGGTTAGGGGAGAGGTAAGGAAAAAAACGAAAGTATATGAGGCGGCAATTCCGTTTATAGCCTTACAACATGTCCGCAAATGAGATTGTGAGGCACTGAATTCGATGAATTTTTGTAAGTAACCTCTTCCTGCCTTTTTTCCGCTTGTCCCGTTTAACACGGAACCATCCACTCGGTTCCCACCTCAGAACAACCCCCACTCCCACCTCACCCCCTTTCCCCGCTGGTTCCTTGTCTTGTCAGCCGTCGGATGCAAGGATCTGACGGACACAGAGCTCTATGGTTGGCAGGATCCGTATGTGGTGCTGCAGTACGGCTCCCAGTGCAAGCGCACGGCTACTCACAAAGGTAGGTTCCCCGGGGTTACGACAACGTCGTACAAGCCAAAAAAACAAAAACAAAGGTAGGTTGGGTTCAGAGAGGGTAACAGCAGGTCGGGATCAGTTGCAAAGTGGGCAGGAGTCAGGACACAGAGCTCCATGGCTGGCAGGGCCCTTATTTATGTGGCGCTGCAGTATGGCTCGCAAACCAAGCGCACGGCCACTCACGACTCACTTATGGCATCATGACTCACTTACTACAGTACTGATTTGGGTCGCTTTTGTTGACTGAAAATTAGCCGTTTTTGTGACTGGTCCAGTGGAACAAGACAGTCCGAATTAACTAACAGCCCAACGTGTTTGACCTGGTAGTGGGCGTGTGGAACGAGACTGTGTGCGCGCATCAACTATTCTCTCCCAAATATCCTTGTATCTTTCTAAATTTGCCTCTTTCCTCCTCTCTCCCTCGGTCCTCTCCCCAGACGGTCACATAACCCCCCAGTGGAATGAGACAATCCGCCTTAACTACCAGCCCAACGTGTTTGACCTGACTGTGGGCGTGTGGAACGAAAACAAGCTCTCTCAAGACAGCCCCATTGGCGGCTGCAAGTGAGTGCTTGCTGCTGGATGTGGGAGCGGACTGTGGAGAGTTGTTTGTTATAGGGCTATCATTTACTGGCTGCTGGCTGACTGTGGCCGTGTGGAACGAAAACACCTTCAGTCAAGACAGCCCCATTGGCAGGTGCAAGTGAGCCTTGACATGGGCAAGGGTAGTGGTTATTGCGCGTGAGATCGCCTGTGCATATCAACTACCAAAGCAGTGTGTTCCATTGACCTGACTGTGGCTCTGTGGAACGAGAATACTCTTACCCAAGACATCCCCATTGGTGGGCTTGCGAGTTTGCAGCTGCGTATCCACTTACTTTGGAAGTGGTGCGCATCCTCTTTTAGGACGCGGCAAGGTTCAAAAATACGGTAAATGTAAATCACGGCTCGTAAATTACGGTCGTAATTTACGGTGGTTTTGGTAAAAATGCGGTCGTTTTTTTAATTGACTTTTTTTGCGGCATTTTTTGGTTTTCCAGAAACTTCAAGAATGCTTACAACAATGACTAGGATGGCAACAACAAACTACACTACAGAGAAACAAGCCTATAATGGACCACTACACAACTACCATGGCTAAGCCTACCTAGTAGTATCTACCTTTAGGCACATCTTCTCCTACTCCCTCCCCACACTACGCGGGAAAAAAAAAACACACTCTCGTGGATTTGGGCGCACGAAACTTCTCACAAGCAGGGTAATGGTTGGGAAATGTTGAAATTCGCTAGACACAAACTCGGTTTCAAAATTTCGGTTGTAATTTACGACCATATTTTTGAACCAACCTAATTTTGCAAGGTCGAACCGTTTTTTCGTAAATTACGATACCGTAATTTACGGTAACATTCAAAAAATACAGTCGTATTTTTGAACCTTGGGACGCGGTAAAAGTAGAGAATCGATCCCCTCAGGATCGTTTTTTAGCGCGTTTGTAAACGGTTGTGTACTTTTCGTAGGCAAAGCGCGGGCTTTCAGTGCGGTGACCGGATCGATCTCCCCCCGACCCTATCAAGCACTTTTACCGCGTCCTTAATCTATCCACTCCTCCACCCCACCCTTCTTCCATCCTTCCTCTCGTCCATCGCTTCCCCTCTCCATCCCCCATTTAATTTCCCTACCCCTCCATCCATTCTCCCTTTTTTCATTCACTCAGCTTCTTCTGCGGCTTCATCTCCCTCCTCGCTTCCCCGTTTCTCCCACGGCCTTAACCAGGGTGAGCATCAGCCAAGCTCTGGATGCTGGAGTGACTGACGGATGGCATCCTCTCTACACATCGAAACAAGTGTGAGTGTGAGAGAATGTGTGAGTGCGTGTTAGTGCTGTTTGGTTCTTGCGCTCACTAAAACTCGGATGTTTGACCAATGGGTGGGGCACCTAGGAAGTTTAGGGTTTAGGGCACCTAGCTTTTCATCACTTGCAAGGAAGGGCTATTGGGAGTTTTCTTCTACTTCTTTCTTTGATTATTCCATACTACTCTGCACAACGATTACTCTTGCAACACATTTGTGTTGTGTCTTTTGTTCTTGTTTACACGCTTGCATTGGATGCAGGAAGAAAGGCAGCATTCGCCTTATCATTAAATACCACCCGGTACGTTCCGTACACCACACATTTTTCAATTATTCTGAAAGTTCTCAAGGTATGTCTGTGTTTCCTCGCACTCTACTGTATGGGTGAATGGCAGCATTCACCAGGTCAGTAACTGACTCGGCATGAAGGCACGAGCTAGGCATGATTAATAAAGTTATCTTTTTCTCACATCCCATTCCCCCCACCAGAATCCTCAGTACAAGCAGCTGGGAGCCACTCCTCTGCCTGATTTAGTTGCTGCACCAGCACCAGCAGCAGCACCAGCAGCAGCAGCAGCAACAGCAGAGTGTAACGCAGCAGTCGCCAGCACTAGTAGCAACAACACAGCTTCAGAGTCCCTCCCTCGCTCTGCTCTCTCCGTGGCTCTTCACAGCATTAATGCTACACACGGCAACACTGCAACAGATGCTTCTAGTAGCGACCACAAAGGCAGTGCTCGTGATAAAGGCACAGAGCAAAGCAAGGACCACGAGTCCTCTTCTTCCTCCTCCTCTGGCCGCCCCACCTCCCTCCCACGCTCTAACCTCTCCATGCAGCTTGATGCAATTGAACGCATGATGGCTGTAGCACAGATCGAACCAGACCCCGCTACAGATGAGCCTGCTGCAGATGGTTCAGGGACTGCTGGTGTTGGTCCTGCTGTTGCTGGTGCTGCTGCTGTTGCTGGTGGTTCATTGAGAGGGGTGGGGATAGAAGTGGCAGGGGGAGAGAAAGCAAAAGACGAGGTGCCTGGGTGGCAGATTGGGCGGGCGACTTGGGAGCAAGAATCAGGAGAGGAGGAGGATGCTTTGCCGGGTGCTGTGGGTGCCCCTTTGAATACTATGGATGAAGAGGCGTTAGCTGCTGCCAGGCTGTCTCAGCGGATTGACGCGATTTATCGCATGCTTGCTGAGACTTGTGAGGGTGGGGATTCAGTTAGGGCCAGTTCAGGTGAATTTGGAAATGCACCTGGGAGCAGCAGTGGAGCACCTGGTGGCAGCAGCAGCGAAGCACCTGGTTCAGGTGGATTAGAGAAAGCACTTGAGGGCCTCGAAATGACAACTGGTGAAACTGGTAGGGCATCTGGTAAAACTCCTGGCGACCACAGAACTGCACCTGATGGCAACAGAGGCGAACCTGAGGGTGCCAGTCCAGGTGGTGGTGGTGGTGGTGCTGCTGCTGCTGCTGCCAAAGCTCTGAATTCTTCTCCCAAACCCATGACTCATAACACGACCAGCACTACTCCTGCTGCTGCCACCGCCACTACCGCCAGCAGCAGCAGCAGCAGCACCACCACCACCAAGGCTCACACAAGCGGCACAACGAGCACCACCAGCAGCGCCACCAGCAGCAGCAGCAAGGCGATCGGACGGTCCAGATTGCGCCCCACCGTCTCGCAGAAGCAGCTGGTTACCATCCATCAGATCCTGGCAGAAGCCGGGAGATTGCCGCCCAGTCACAGCATCCACACCCGGGCGGCAGAGGCAGCTAAAGGACAAAGCACCGCAGCAGCTGCTGTGTTTGATAACAAGGGAGGGGGCGGCGGTGGTGGTGTGACTGCGTGGCAGGGGGGAGTGCAGCAGCAGGGCTGGGCTGATACCATAGCGGAAGGGGAGGAAGGGGAGGAGGAAGGGTTGTCGGGGAGGGCAGGAGGTAGTGGGACTTCGGGAAGAGGATCGGGAGGTTCGGGAAGAGGTACAGTCGGAGGTTTGGTCACAGGCTCGGTCGAAGGTTCAGGAGGAGCTTTGGTTAGTGCGCCCAGGGTGGTTTCAGGTGGGCATTCAGGGGGGTTGACAGGGGCTATGGCAAGCATGCAGGAGGCGGTAACAGGGGCAATGACAGGTGTCATGTCAGGTGGTTTCTCAGGTGGTGGCTCTGTGCTGACTGGGATGATGGGCATGGTGACAGGCACGGTTACCGGAGCTATGGACAAGGTTCGGTCAGGCGAGGCTGAAGACTTGGTTCGGAATGCGATAGAAGCAGCTAAGGCTCCCTTGGTGAAAGGAGGGGTGGGAATGATGGGGGCGTTGGGGGTTAATAACACCGCACATGTCGCAACGCAACCCAATCCGCAACGACCGGCCGTGCCTATGTACGCGCATGCGTCATATCCTACTGCTCCTCCTGCTGCTGCTCTTCCGCCTCCTCTCGCTCCCCCCTCGGCTTATCAGGCTCACCAGTCATCCCCACACCAGCCTACTCATGCAGCAACCAGCCAGTCCTGTTCCACGGGCCCTACTCATTCGTCCCATTACTCTTCCTACTCCTCCTCCACCGGCTCCACCGCCGCCTCCTCCGTCTCATACCCTTCTCCCTCCTGGTCCTCCCACCATACCTCCCCTTCCTACCCTCACCCCTCTGTCTCCTACCCTTCTCCCTCCTCCTCTTCCTACCCTTCCACCAGCGCTTCCGGCCCCAATCACCCTAGCAGTGGTTACTATCCCTCCATCTCCTCCTCCCCTTCTCCCTCCTCTTCCTCCACCCCCTCCTCTTCCTCCATCCCCTCCTCTCTCTCTGCTGAATCTGCACACTCAGAAAGGAGGCATCAATCTTTCGAATCCGCACACTCAAATAAGGACGAAAGAGGCCCTCACCACTCAAATCACTCGTCTTTCTCTTCAAGCTACCCTCCTTCTGAATCGTCTCAATCGGTCGATTCAGACATTTCAGAGCACTCTTCCAATTACCCTTCCACCTTGCACCCTACTAAATACTCTTACCCTCAAGCCCCTGCAACACCCAACCCCTATCCCACCCCTCCTGCCTCAAATCCGTATCCTTTTACTTACCCACCCACTCAATACAATCCCTCTCAATACAGTCCCTCTCAATACAACTACCCTACCAAAGCACCCCCTGGTGCATACCCTAGCTACCCTCATAACTCTGCTCCTTATTGTCCCTATCCTCCACCTCAAGGGCCTACACCCCATCCTCCTTATCAGCAGGGTGGGGTACAGTACCCCACGCCCTGGGGTTATCCTGCCCCGCCTGCCCCTTATAATGACCGGAGTGGTGGTTACGGTGGTACCAGTGGGGATCATGCTCGTGGTGGTAACCGCTCGACATCACCTGTTTCGTTTGAGCGACACAGGAGCGGTGAGAACATATTTTGAAGTCGCATAGGATTTCTCTCCCTATCAATGCTCCCTTCTCAATCGCAACATTTTCACTTGCGGTGATGTTTTTTTCTTCTTTTCTTTTCTTTTCCCTTTCACTCTGCTGCGGTGATGATGTGCAGGTGGAAGCGGTGGCTCTCATGGTAAAGGAGAGCACAGCTACAAGGACAGCAGGTCTCACAGACATAAAGAAGATCGGAGCAAGAAGGATTTCTGTGATTGCAAACACAGTAAAAAGTGCTACAAAAAAGAGCACAAGAAGAAAGGCAAAGACCATTATTGAAAAGTGGAAGTAGGTTAGATTCAGCCACAAGCTACAGATAAGACTGCAACTGCTTGCCTTCTTAGAAGCAATGTACCTCCTAAAGCTACAGATAAGACTGCAACTGCTTGCCTTCTTAGAAGCAATGTACCTCCTAACGCTCCTAACTCTCTTTCCGTTGATAACGCGTATTTCCGGTTGACGTTTTCGAGGCGAAACTCTCTAGGTCTCGGAGATATTTGTCCTTACAGGCAACCTGATTGGTTCGAGCGTGCCAGAAGGAGCTTCACCATCAGAATCTGAAAAGTCCATCGCAAAAAACTGGAGTTCGGGGTCGGAAAGTAGGGTGCCCAGCTGATCAGCTGCCCAGTTATCCCATCAAAAAGGCACAATGGAACTCGGTTGATCAGGCAGCTACGTACGAGGCGTGATTTTAGTTAACGCGCTATGTTGTCAGGTGTTGCTGGGGCCTGATTACCGTGCGTGGGACCAGTTTCAGGTAAATGTAGCTAGAGTCGACGGGATGTGGTAATCTAATCGTAGCCGCTCCATCGTAAGTAGCTTTCCCGCATTCGTTCTCGTCTGACATCCTCACTCGTGTCACAGTCGTTTCGCTACTTGATATGGTCCATAACTCATATTAGCGTGGTCCGTTAACCATTTCGGGTGGTCTGACGGTACGGCTTACGCCCGTAGTAGTAGCTATTGTGACGACGTTCTTTTGAAGAGGATAGCACCCGGAAGAGGGTAACAAGAGGGTTGTTGTGACGGAAGCATCACCCTGGTCAGGCAAAAAGGCAAGAGGAGCGGCGACGCTTCGTTGCGGCGATCATGACGTCGGGCTGGTTAGACGTGACGGGTAAGTGTCCGACGCTGGACGATCTTGAACAGAACAGATTCGTCAGGCTGTCTAGTCGTGACGGTTAAGTGTCCGACGCTGGACGATCTTGAACAGAACAGATTCGTCAGGCTGTCTAGACGTGACGGGTAAGTGTCTGACACTGGAAGATATTGAACAGAACAGATTCGTCAGGCTGTCTAGTCGTGACGGGTAAGAGAAGCTAGAGGCAATGGACAAGTCATGTGTCTGGCTGGATAGACGTGACGGATAAGTGTCCGACACTGGAAGATCTTGAACAGAACAGATTCGTCAGGCTGTCTAGACGTGACGGGTAAGTGTTTGACACTGGAAGATCTTGAACAGAACAGATTCGTCAGGCTGTCTAGACGTGACGGGTAAGAGAAGCTAGAGGCTATGGACAAGTCATGGTGTCTGGCTGGTTAGACGTGACGGGTAAGTTTGGCTGGAAGATTTTAAACTAAGCCGATTCTTCAGGCTGGCTAGACGTGAATGGTAAGTATTGCTGGAAGATCTTGAACAAAGACAGATAAAAATGTGTGGCTGAAAGGTAATATGGCGGGGAACGTGTCATGGGGTCTGGCTAGTTTGATTGAACTTCACTTTCTTAGCTTTGAACCTCATTCAAGGACCAGGAAAGTGGTGTCATGGTGAAAGAAACATTGAACGTTGCGATCATAAAGAAAAGGAATTGCTGCCTCGAGTTCGTCGGCGTATCTTATTGACGCCACGTCACGCAGAAAGGTGTGTGTGTGTGTGTGTGTGTGTGTGTGTGTGTGTGTGTGTGTGTGTGTGTGTGTGTGTGTGTGTGTGTGTGTGTGTGTGTGTGTGTGTGTGTATGCCACGCAGCGTTTTAGAAAGGTGTGTGGGTGACGTTGAATCTCACGCGCCACGGATGAAAAAGAATCACAGACTTGCTGCTCGTTGACCATTACTCGCTGCTCGTTGACCAGTACTCACTGCTCGTTAACCATTACTCGCTGCTCGTTGACCATTACTCGCTGCTCGTTGACCATTACTCGCTGCTCGTTGATCATTACTTGGTGCTGTTAGTTGACCCGCTATCCGTTGTTCTGTTAGTTGCTGCTCGTTACTTGTTAGTCGCTGCTCGATCTCCGTTACTAGCTGCCTTGTTATTCTTGCACTTGCCTTCGAACCTTTTTTTTTTTTTTCCTCCCTCTTTCAATGACCCCCAATTCGCCACGTGGCACCACACCAGTGGTGGGCTGCAAGGATCTGTATGACGTGGAGCTGTTCGGCAAGCAGGACCCTTACGTGGTGTTACAATATGGTAACCAGCAGCACCGCACCAAGGTCCACCAAGGTAACGAGTCATCAATCCTATTCAGTAAGCATCTCATGTGCGGACTCTGCTGCTGGTTCTGCTGCTTTCTCCGTTTCCCCTGCCGTCGCCGGCAAACCCAACCACACAGCCCCCGTGAGGCACTAGACAATCTCTTAAGGCTCTATAAAGCATTCACTGCAGTTCCCCTCCTCTTCCTCCGTCTCCCCTGCCGTCACCCGCAAGCAAACCCGGCCACACAGCCGACGTGTGGCACTAGGCGAGTCAGCTGCAGATGAGGGCAGAGGCACAAGCAGTCACTATCTCCCCAACCTCTTTTCTCTTTCTCCCATCACTCCTTCCCGCGCTCCTACACACGACCACACCCACCCCCGTGTGGGGTAAGATGTTTCAGCTGCCTTCGCGGCAGAACTGCAGACACACAGTCGCAGGTTCCCCAACTTTGTCTCCTCTTCATCCATCTCCCCTTCATCCATCTCCCCTTCATCCATCTCCCCTTCATCCATCTCCCCTTCATCCATGATCCATCTTCCCTTCCCTTGCTCCTCCAGACGGCCACATCACCCCTGTGTGGAACGAGGCGTTTCAGCTGCAGTTAAAGGGCCAAGTCAGCCCTTTGGAATGCCACGTGTGGGACAAGAACAAGCTAAAGGACGAACTGATCGGCCACTGCTCGTATGTTCCCCATGCCTTCTCTAACTGGTTGATCTCTGAGGGCATTTTCAGCTGCAGCTGAGGGTAAATATCAGCCCTTTGGAATGCCACGTGTGGGACAAGAACAAGCTAAAGGACGAACTAATCGGCCACTGCTCGTACGTCCCTCCTCCTGCCTGCCTGCTGATTGGTTGGTTGGTCGGTACACATTAGATCCATCCATCATCCATCAAAAGTGGTTTCACGTCGACCCGACCCTTTTGCTTTCTTCCTTCCCCTCTCTGCTCAATCTCCTTCAGGGTTAACAGTCAGCCAGCACTGACAGTAAAAGAGTTTTGCCTGCCACCGCTGCAGTGCCCCATTTAAAATCACATTCTGTGCCCCCCCTTCAATCACTTCCTGTGGCCCCTTTTTACTCTCTCCCCTCCCCTCTCTGCTAAATCTTTTTCAGCGTGGACATTCAGCCAGCACTGACAGCACAAGTGTGGGACACGTTGCATCCTCTTACCACCAAGAGACAAATGTATGCCTTTGCTTTGCTTTGACCTACATCCCCTTTTTGAGGCGCCTAAAAAGCAAACTAAATTTCGAGGTGCCTAAAAGAATCGTGGCACCTTCCCCTCCCCCTTCTTAGCCTAAAACAAACAGGACTCATGTGAGCAATCTCTGAGAATTCTCGAAAATCGCTCACGTGTGAAATAAATACTTTGGTTGTCCAACGATAAGCATGATTGAATCATGGAATCCAATCCACAGTACGTTGAGAAAAAAAAAAAAAAAAAAAAAACACACACACACACACACACACACACACACACACACACACACACACACACACACACACACACACACACACACACACACACACACACAGAGTCCAAGCTTAGAATTCAAAGGCGGCTTCTGATCGCGAAACGACTCACACGAGCTTCGACTCGCGCGTGTGAGATGAACAGCCCCCCCCCTCACACGACTCACACGAGCTTCGACTCGCGCGTGTGAGATGAACAGCCCCCCCCCTCACACGACTCACACGAGCTTCGACTCGCGCGTCCCTATCAGGCCTCTCGTCAAGACGAACAGCCCCCCCCCCCCCCCCCCCCCCCCCCCCCCCCCCCCCCCCGCCCCCCCCAGTGGCCCATGTTTTTTGAGAATTCTGCGTATGTTTTTTAAGGAAACTAAAAAAAACGACTCACACGACTAACAGCCCCCTCCTCCCCACCCCCAGTGGCCCGTTCTATCAAGACGAACAGGCATGGTTCGACATAAGGCATGGCTGCAAGTCGCGATTGGGCCCGGTTCAACCGGGCCTGAACAAGGCCCCATTGTGGGCTGGGTCGACCAACAAAATGGCCTGTCCGGCCGGCTAGGCCCGTGGCAAGTTTTAAGGAAGAATCTTGCCACGGAGAAGGCCAGTCGATACGTGATAAAAGTGAAGTTTTGAGGCATCTCAAAATTTCACCTTGATCACGTGGCTAGGCCCGTGGCAAGTTTTAAGGAAGAATCTTGCCATGGACAAGGCCAATCGGACCCTTTTTTTTTATCAAAGATATAACTGGAATCTTATGTTTCAAAATGAAACGACTGACAGGGCCAAGAAATTGGCCCGGCCGGCTCGGGCCGTAGCAAACTGGTTTGGTTTGTCTATACCAAGTGCGGTTTGGGGTACCATGTCCATCTTGCACCCTTGGTTTTTCATTTGGCTCAGAAGTCACCGGTCTCCTTGCCTAATGCTGCTCCTGGCATTCTTTCACAGACAAAAGTGTTACCTTTTTTTTTTTTTTTCTTGAGTCAAGTCAACTCAAAATCACCTAGCCTGCCAAGATTTCGATCATAAGTTCACTGTACTCTCTACTCTGTCTTCCTTTCCTAATACTGCTCCTCACATTACCTTACAGGCAAAGGGGTCTCCTTCATCTTGTTATCAAGTATATTCCTGTAAGCCTCTTCCTACTCTGTCAGTTCACTCAACTGTCAGTGCGACTTTTGAGAAGTCCCAAAAGCGCCGCCCCTGGCATTCCTTTGCAGGCGAAGCGGTCACCTTCGTCTTGCTCCAGGTCCAGTCAAGCACACCCGTGCCTGATTTTCTCTCCCTTTTCTCTCTTTCCCTTAGGAATCTCATATACGCATGCATTGGAATGTTCTCTGTTTTCTCTGTTCCGTCCTGCCCTATTGCTCTCCAGGCCGAGTCAAGCCCGTCCCCACAAGCTCCAGCCATGCTTTCCCCTAGTGGCAACAGCAAGGTGACTTTTGAGTCGACTCAAAACTCACCTCACCACAAGTTTTTTCTGTTTCGACCTGCTCTGTTGCTCTCCAGGCCGAGTCAAGCACGCCCTCACCTGCTCCAGCGGCCATGCTTTCCCCTAGTGCAGCAGCAGAAGCACAAGCAGCTGCCGCAGCCGCCGCTGCAGCAGCAGCAGCAGGGATAGGAGCAGGAGGGGCAGCAGCAGGAGCATCAGCAGGAGCAGCAAGGGCTTCAGCTACAATTCCCAGCTATTACACCGCATCACCACAGCAGCCCTATTACTCCCCCACCCCTCCTCCTCCGCGCACACTCTACCCTCCTCCTCCCCAAACCCAGGTACAACCACCTCCTCCTCCTCTTGCTAACCAACTCTACCCCTCCCCCACTCCTCCTGCGCCTCCTTCTAACCTGCAGGTCTATCCCCCCGCTCCCCCTCCCCCAGCTTTCCAGCAGAGTTACTCCCCCGCTCCCCCTCCCCCTGCCAACCAACAAGTCTACCCCCCTGCTCGTCCGAGCCCTGCTAACCAGCATGAATACTCCCCCGCTTCCCCCCTTCCTCCTTCTAACCAGCAGCTCTATTCCCCTGCTCCTCCGCCCCCTGCTAACCAGCAGGAATACCCCCCCGCTCCCCCTCCACCTGCTAACCAGCAGGAATACTCCCCCGCTCCCCCTCCCCCTGCTAACCAGCGAGTCTACCCCCCCACTCCTCCGCCTTCTGCTAACCAGCAAAACTATTCCCCCGCTCCCCCTCCCCCTGCTAACCAGCAAGACTATTCCCCCGCTCCCCCTCCTCCTTCTCCGCCTCTTCCTCAATCAGCAGCGCCTGCAGCAAATGATTCTTGGGGCTCTGCTGCTCCCTCTGCTGCTCCCTCTGCTGCTCCCTCTGCTGCTGCTCCCCCTGCTGCTGCTCCCACTGCTGTTGTTGCCTCTGCTGTTGCTCCCCCTGCTGCTGCTCCTGCTCCTGCATCCGCTGCTGCTGCTCCCCCAATCCCCTCCCCTCCTCCCACCTACCCCTCTCCCTCCCCACCTGCCAACCCTCCTGCCAGTTACCCTTACAGCTACCCCCCTCAACCCATGGCAACGGCAGCAGCGGAATATTCCCACCAGCCAGCACCCAGTGCAGGGCCGCAGCAGCCAGTGCAGGGAGCACCTGGTGATGCAGGAGAGTACACAGGGGGCGGTGTGGCAGCTGTTGCAGCAGTTGGGGCGGCAATGGGTGCTCTGGCTATTGGTGGTGCTGGGAGCGGAGGTGATGTAGCAGCAGCGCCAGCACCAGCATCACCGCCAGCACCAGCACCAGCACCAGCACCAGCACCAGCACCACCACCAGCAGCACCAGCAGCATCACCGCCAGCACCAGCACCAGCACCAGCACCACCACCAGCAGCACCAGCAGCAGCACCACCAGCAGCACCAGCAGCAGCACCAGCAGCAGCACCACCAGCAGCAGCAGCAGCAGCAGCACCAGCAGCAGCACCAGCAGCAGCACCACCACCACCAGCACCACCAGCAGCAGCAGCAGCAGCAGCACCAGCAGCACCAGCAGCAGCACCACCACCAGCACCACCACCAGCACCACCACCAGCAGCACCAGCACCAGCAGCAGCACCACCACCAGCAGCAGCACGACCAGCAGCAGCAGCAAACTCCTCTACTCCAGACGCATATCCCCCTCCATTTTCTCAGGACTCCTATCCTCCTCCCCCTCCCCCTCCCTCTCAAGACCAGTATCTTCCCCCTCCCTCTCAAGCCCCATATCCTCCTCCCCCCTCTCAAGCCCCATATCCTCCTCCCCCCTCTCAAGCCCCATATCCTCCTCCCCCCTCTCAAGCTCCGTATCCTCCTGCCCCCTCTCAGAGCCCCTATCCTCCTCCCCCCTCTCAGGGCCCCTATCCTCCTCCCCCATACAGCTACCCTCCTTCGTCTCCTCCTCAACCCTCCCCCTACGGATATCCCGGTTACCCCCCAGCTTCTCAAGCTCCCCCATACGGGTATCCCTACGCTGCTCCTCCTGCTTTATATGCCCCTCCACCTGCTTCCTATGCTCCTCCTCCCGCCCCGTATGGATATGGGGCCCCGCCGCCGGGGTATTATTCTCAGTACAACACCCGGCCTGTGGTGGTGGTGCATCGTCATGGGCACGACGGTACGTGCATGGAACACCGAGGTACGTGTGATTAGGTGTGGTATTGCTCGGTGTGATAGTGCTAGTTCGCATGCTATTGCGACAGTACGACATGACGCCGCAAGGGTATTATTCTCAGTACAGCACCCGGCCTATGGTGGTGGTGCATCACCATGGGCAGCATGGTACGTGTGAAGTGTGATTTCACATGCTCTATTGCGATGGTATGGCATGACCCCTCAAGGGTATTTTTCTCATTACAACACCCGGTCTGTTGTGATGGCATCACTAAGGGCATCATGATGCGTGCATGGAACACCATGGCACGTGTGGTGCACTGTGGTGCTGATGATGGGTATCATGATCCATTTGACCAGGTAGGGTAGTGCTGCGTGCTCATGAAATAGGTATGTGCATCGAGAATCATCATGGTACGTCATGGAGCATCATGGTATGTGCATGGAACATCATGGTATGTGCATGGAACATCATGGTATGTGCATCGAACATCATGGTACGTGCATGGAACATCAAGGTATGTGCATGGAACATCATGATACATACATGGAACATCAAGGTATGTGCATGGAACATCATGGTGCGTGCATGGTTCCGCTCCTCGAGGGTGTTATTCATGGTTTCGCTACAACACCCAACCCATGGGACCATGGGCATCATGATGCATTGAACATCAAGGTATATGCATTGGGACTCTTGATACAGGCATAGGGGATCAGGGTACATGCATGAGGCATCATGTATATTTGAAACATCTGCGACTTCTGCCTATGTTGTTTGGTAACCTATGTCCTAGTAGGCTTGTGCTGGTGGTGCATGGTAGGTCATAGGTATCGTGGTACGTGCATCCTGTTTCACATTCTCCTGAATTGTGTCCTGTTCTGTTTTTCCTTTGAGAAGTTAAGTATGCCACCTTCCAGTTCGTTTCCCTGTGTTCATTTCCTACCTCTATGCTTTTTTAACCCTTACTGGTACTGGTGAGGTGGTGGAGCGCAGGTTATTATGGAAAAGGCAAGGGCTACAAAGGTTTCAAGGGTGGGTTCTTTTTCAAATAATGCTTGCCATTCTCTGCTACTCCTGACTTGAGTTGTTAGCAGGAATTGTTTATGTTTGGGATTTTTCATTCAAATGTTATGCTGTTTTGTTCTGTTATGCTGTTATGCTGTTTTGTTTATGTTATGCTGTTTTGTGTATGAAAGGGTGAACTGAACATACATACCATACAAGGCCAACAGGTATCACAGACATAAATAACATCAAAGTATAAGGTTTGCTATGCCTGCAAGCATCATGGGAAGTGCTAGCAATATGATCACAAAAAGGTAAAGGACACTATGATTAGCAGTGGACGTAGCAACTATATACGGTACAGTCCAAATGGTTTGCAAACTGTAGTATTCTGTGAATTTGTTTTCGGCCTGGTGTTTTTTGCGGTCCTTTTACAGAGCGTATCTCGGATTCGGATTTTCGAGCGAGCCTTGTGCAGTTTGACACAAGAGGGGGTCGAGATTTTCATTCAACCAAACCTGATTGGCTTGACCATTCCATACGCACCTTCATCGGGAAACCTGATTGGTTTCCTCGTACAGTAGCTCGGAAGCAGGTTTGCCTGAACCTAGGGTGGGCTTGTCAGATTCCTGATTTTATTAAGTTTCAGTGTGGCGCACAACGTTTTAAAGAGGTGATATCACAGACCGTTTCTGACCGTGGTCTAGCGCACTGAACCGCGGTAAACGAACGAATGGTGTGACCACACTCATCACTGCTGCTGGAATCACTGATCATTTTTACTAGAAGTCATTGTGGGCCATTCCCTTGTTTCGCAAGAAGCAGGGATGGCTTCGTTAGACTTCGACGCCGTAGCTTCTGACGTTGCTAATTCTCGATCATTGCTCGTGTCTCGATTCCTAGAATGCGTCCTTCCGCGAAGAGTGTAGGGGAAAAACGCGAAAGCAGCGGCAAAGGTTCAGCCGCGCCGCGGTCATGGCTTCTGGCTGGCTAGACGTCACGGGTGAGAAATTAATCACTCGGTCAGAATATAGAGTTCAGGGATGCAGACATTGGTATCTGATCCTTAGCCTAAAAAGAGCACGGGATGTCGCGAAAGTAGCCAAAGCCGGAAACGTCGCCGCAGGATTCGGCGTAGGTCAGACTAAATATCAAATGTCGTTAGAGGCAGTGAGTGAAGGATGTGACGTCAGACGTGTGCGATTCTTTAAAGACGTCACGTCACTCGGTACTTCCAGGAAGGTGCCGAAGCGTTGATCACAAGCGCCGCTTGCAAACTCGTTACGTTACTCGTTGACCGTCGCTCTCTGCTTGTCGCTCCCGACTCCAAGTCGTTTGCCTCTATCCGTATTCGTTACTCGTTGGTCGTTATTTTATCGTCTTGGAATAGGCGAAGAAATTAGTCCCTTATTGGAAAACACCCTCCACACTTTTCTTTTTCTTTTTTCCATGACAAAAAGAAGCATACAAGCAAGCTCAGTACTTTACCTATTCCGTTCCTATCTCTCCTCCCCCCCTCCTCCCCCCAATCCCCTCCCCCCCCCCCCCCCCCTCCCCATTTTCCCTCGCGGTTTGCCATGTGGCACCAGTGGTGGGCTGCAAGGATCTACATGACGTGGAGTTGTACGGGAAGCAGGACCCGTACGTAGTGTTACAGCATGGTAACCAGCAGCACCGCACCAAGACACACCAGGGTAAGTTGCTTTCATAGTAGACATCATGGAGAGAGGCGAGCAACAAGCAAGCAAGCAGTACCCTCACTTGGTGTTACAGTAATGGCATGGTAACCAGCAGCACCGCATAATGATTTTCCAAGGTAGGCCCAAGGTAGGTTGCTTGCGGAGATGCTTCATATGTGAGGCATGGCGAGGTGTGAGGCAGGCAGGCAAGCAAGCAATCAGTCGTGTTTTGAGTCAAAGCACAGCAATCAAGCAAGCAGTACCCGTACTTGGTGTTACAGTAATAGCATGGTAACGAACAACAACTTTGCATGAAGATTCAAAATACTTCATATATGAGGCATGGCGAAGGGTGAGGGAAACACTCAATCGAGCAGGACCCTTCCCGCCCTCCCAGTTTCTCCATCACCCCTGCCCTCGCTCGTCCTTTGAGGCGCCTCTACAGACGGCCACACCACCCCTGTGTGGGACGAGACGTTTCAGCTCAGCTGAGGCCAGAGATGCAAGCAGGCAGTCACTGTTCTCCTAAGCTCCTCTCTTCGCTTTCTCCGTCTCCTCTGCCCTCGTTCGTCTCCACAGACGGCCACACCACCCCTGTGTGGAACGAGACGTTTCAGCTGCAGCTGAAGGCCGGTGTCAGCTCCTTGGAATGCCACATATGGGACAAGAACAAGCGCAGGGACGTGCTGATTGGCCACTGCTCGTACGTATCCCTCCTGCCCTGCCTTTTGTGATTCGTTGGTCGGTACTTGTTTGAGAAATGATCCATCCATCGCTCCTAGAACCATCCATCGCTCCTAGAACCATCCATTCTTGGTGCGTTTTGGGTCTTGAAACGCCTCGGACAGTCCTCCTTAGTGTGCTTTTTTATTATTTTCCAAGAGCATTCAACATTTCTGGGTCTGTAAGACCTGGGACGTCTTGATACGTCTTGATACGTCACTCTTCCCCGATGAGTGAGGACCCGTGGGACCTCACATTTCTGGGTCTGTAAGACCTGGGACGTCTTGATACGTCCTTAGTGGGCTATCATGTCAAATCGAAAGCATAGTTCTCCACCCTTTGATCATATTGCGCCTGCATAGCTTTTCTCAAAGTGAAAGGTCAACCAGCACTGCACTGACAGCAGAATTCTTTGTTCGTGTGCTGCCTGTGTAGCTATTGCCTGCATAGCTTTTCTCAAAGTGAAGCGTCAACCAGCACTGCACTGACAGCAGAATTCTTTGTTCGTGTGCTGCCTGTGTAGCTATTGCCTGCATAGCTTTTCTCAAAGTGAAGCGTCAACCAGCTCTGCACTGACAGCAGAATTCTTTGTTCGTGTGCTGCCTCACTAGCATTTTGCATCCCCCGTTTCCTTCTTGCTTTGCACTGACTCCTGAATTTCGTTCAGGGTGAACTTTCAGCCAGCACTGACAGCACAAGTGTGGGACACGTGGCACCCTCTCTTCACTAAAAAACAAAAGTATGGCTTCGGTTGACTTTGGCCTGCATTCACGTCAGCACATGGGTGTTTGGTTTGAGTCGACTCAAAACATATCTTCAGAACCAGCACTGACAGCACAATTGTGGGACACGTGGCACCCTCTCTTCACTAAGAAACAAAAGTATGGTGCCATCTTCACATCGTGACTTTTGAGTCGACTCAAAAGTCACCTTGATTCGGCCCGCATGCGCTTCCCATCTTGCTTGCACCCCACGCCCATCTTCACGTCGTTTCAAGTCGAGTCAGCTTGGATTTGATCCCTATTTTAGACGACTCTAAAGCTGTATCCAGCAGGGGTTTGGACAGGAGTTGCATTCAATTCTCGTTAGCCCAACTGATTCTGCTGAGAAATATTTATGAAATAGTTTAATATGAAACTCTGAAGTCTCAAAAGAGCTTGCGCAGACATATGCATACTTTGCATGGTCCACATGTGCAGCTCGTCTCCCTGGTTGATTGATTTTCTCTGGATACCCATGGTTGAAACGTGGTTTAATCCGCCTCAGAATGCATTCCTGGTTCATTCCATGTGTAGACCCCTTCGTAAACTTGATTCTGCCCACTTGCCCATCTTTTTTTGCGTCGTCTTGAATGTTTTTTGTCTGACAGCTCACCCTTCCTTATGCATGCAAACGTTTTTTTTTTCCAGTTGCCTCAAAACTCCTCCCACCGTCTTTCTTTCCCTGTGCTGCTCTTGGGATTGCTTTGCAGGCAAAAGGGTTATATTCGTCTCGTTATGAAGTATATCCCTGTAAGGCGTACCTGTTTTCATGTTTCCTCACACATTGTTTTTATTTGTTTTCTTTCCACATCTAAATGTAATTTTTCGAGGCGACTCGTCACTTAATGGATGTTTGGCTGTATCTTTCTTTTAATGTGATTTATTTTCTCTTCCTTTTGTTTTTGTTCTTATTTTCCCTTTTTCTTTTCTTCGTTGGTCCAGTCCCAGCCAAACGCATCCGCACCTCCATCTACCATGCATTTCTCAACCGCAGCACCACCAGCAGGAGCAGCAGCAGGAGTAGCAGCAGGAGCAGCGGCAGGAGCAGTTGCAGGAGCAGCAAGAGCACCTGTTCCCCTTCCTGACCATTACACCTCATCACCACGGCAGCAGCCCTCTAACTCCCCCACCGTTTCTCCACCCCACTCACTCTACCCTTCCCCTCCTCAACCACAGCCAAACCCACCCCTCTATCCCCCTCCGCCACAGCTGGCTTCTGAGGCACCTCGATCACCAGACCAAACCCATCTGTACCCATCCCCTTACCCCTCTCTGCCACACAACCCACGTTCCCAGCCACCCACCTCCCCCTCCATCCACACCCAGTCTTCCGCCCTCTCATCCATCCCTTCCTCCCTTACATCCCACCCTTCCTCCTCATCAGACTCCCCATCCTCCTCCTTCCACAGCCAGTACTCATCCTCAGACCCGGCTTTCTCCTTCCGACACCTGGATTCGGCACCAAATCGTATCTACCCTCCTTCCCCCCTTGCTCCTTCTCCTCTTGCTCCTTCTCCTCTTGTTCCTACCAGCAACGGTAGCCCCTACCCAAGGGTACACTCCAGTGGCGCTCCCTCTGCCCCTCCTATGTCGCCCCCTCACTCTCCAGTCCCCTCCCCACCCCCTTCCCCGCCTCCCACTCACTCCTACAACTACCCTCCTCAGCCCACAGCAGCCCCACTCCCGTCCCCTCCTCCCACTCATCCCTCCAACAACTATCCCGCTCAGTCCACAGCAGGGGGGGAGCACACAGGGGGAGGTGCAGCAGCGGTTGCAGCAGTTGGGGCGGCCATGGGTGCTCTTGCAATTGGTGCTGCTGGGAACAGGGATGGCGGTGGTGCTGCTGCTGCAGCTGCTGCAGCACCAGCAGCAGCACCACAAGCTGTAGCACCTCCTCCAGTCCACCACCCTCATCCCCAGCCTCCCTCTCAATCCGCATATCCTCCTCCCCCCTCTCCCTCTCAAGCCGCTTATCCCCCTCCCCAGCCTTCCTCTCAAAACGCGTATCCTCCTCCTCCCCCCTCTCAGGGCTCCTACCCTTCTCCCCCCCCTCCTTCCCAGTCCGCATATCCTCCCCCTCCCCCTCCCTCTCAATCCGCCTATCCCCCTCCCCCCGCTCCCTCTCAATCCGCATATCCTCCCCCTCCCCCTCCCTCTCAGGGCGCTTATCCTCCTCCCCCTTACGGTTACCCCCCACCTCCTCAAAACCCTCCTTACGGATACCTCGCTTACCCCCCACCTTCTCAAGCTCCCCCCTATGGGTATTCATACGTCCCCCCTCCTGCTTCATACACCCATCCTCCTCCTCCCCACAATCCCTACCCCCCTCCTCCTGCCCCGTATGGTTATGGTGCTCCCTCCCAAGGGTACTATTCTCACTACAGCACCCAGCCGCGAGTGGTGGTGGTGCACGGCCATGGGCATCATGGTACGTGTGATCATGTGTTACTAGCACTTTGTTTTCTTACATTTCCTTGCGTTAATTAATTTCTGACCTGTTTGACTCTCTCCCTTCGTATTGACTGTTGGTGTTGTTGAGTGCAGGATATTATGGAAAACACAAAGGATACAAAGGTTTCAAGGGTGGATTCTTCTTCAAGTAATGCTTGCCATTCTTTGCTTCTCTGGGACTTCACAGTTTCACCATTGTGTTGCATTTTTTCTGAGATGCTGAGTATTATACTTGTCTTCTTATCTCAATTGAGGGGCAATCCGGGAAGGCAGAACTAGATTTTATAGCGTATGGACAATCCCTGAATCCGCGTTTGGGCGGACGTGTGGAACACGCCCTACAATCCGCTTCCCCGCCACCATCTTGGTAGTGTCTGAAATGGGCAGGCAGATTCCAAGGCTGTTAACTTCTTGACAGTGACAAGGCAAGCAGTCCGCCGCGTAACTTCATGCTGACTTGTTCGTGCGGACCAATCTCGAGAAGGAATCAACTGAAGGGAATATTCCCGACAACCAATCAGCTTCGTATCGCGCACAAATTAGGGCGACGCGTGGGGCCAAGCCCCAACTCCCATTCATCAAGAATGGACGACATCTGTCCGTCCAAAAACATCATCGAATAGTTTCGGGTCAGATGAGTTCTCTTCTGGGCAAACCTGCCCCATCAAATTATTCTCGCACTTTGCACACACTCCTTTCACACCTTCTCCTTCCGTTTCCTGGTTACATGATCGCTATTTAATTTCTTCAGTTGGTGCATACAGTCAGCCGGTCAGCTCCTTCAAACCATCCTTCTGCCCCTCTGCCTCCTTCCTTCTGGGGTCAACTCTCGAGGAGCACCGACGAACCTATCCGCGTTGTCTCTGAGATGACGAGGAGAAATGGAAAATCCCATCATCTATGGCTGCTTGGAATCAAGGCCTTGAAAGAGCACTTGATAGTCCCTGTTGATTTCTGCTTTTAGTGGGAGCTGTCATTTCAGCCACATGTGTTTGTTGTCGCTGCTGCCTCGGGTTTCAGGCATCGTTGCGGTAATAAAACACTACGAAGGCAACGTATTCCTGTCATTAGCTGCTGCTCTTTGGTCGTAGTATTCTGTGAACATCAAGCACCAGGCCTACTACGACCGTAGGGTGAAGGTTAGAACAGCTCATCGCGGCGCGATGGCTTCCCGGGCGTGCTCCACCGCGCCGCCGGGCCTGGCTCTTCTTCGTCGCTTCCGGCCAAAGGATTTCTCCTTCGCGACGCACCAGATTTTCGTCCTCGTTCTCACCTTCATCGCATACGCGTTATACCACGCCTCACGAAAGCCACCCAGCATTGTCAAGGGCGTGCTCGACCCTCTCGATACAGGCAACTCCGTTACAAGCAATCCCTGGACGTTCTACCTCCAGCGGTTGGAGACCCACCCAGAAAACGCCCTTCTGCGGTCAGAAAAAAAAGCCGGATGGGCTCCTTTCAACGGTAAATCCGGAAAATCTCTTCTCGGAGAACTCGATATCGCGTTTCTGGGATGCTACGCGATCGGCATGTACATCGCCGGCCACGTCGGCGACCGCATCGACCTCCGCGTCTTCCTCTCCGTGGGGATGTTCGGCAGCGGCTTATTCGTATCCCTCTTCGGCATGGGTTACTTCTGGAATATACACTCGTTAAACTACTTCGCCGCTGTGCAAATGGCCGCGGGTTTCCTCCAGGCGACGGGGTGGCCCAGCGTAGTCGCGATCATGGCCAGCTGGTACGGAAAAAAAGGCCGCGGGCTGATTCTCGGCGTGTGGAACGCGCACACCTCCGTCGGCAACATTCTCGGATCGCTCATCGCGTCTTCCGCGCTTGCAAGCGGCTGGGGCTGGGCCTTTCTCGTCCCCGGGTTTAGTATCATGGCGGGAGCGCTGGTGATGTTTTTGTTTCTTGCGCCAGAGCCAGAAACCATAGGGCTGGAGTCGCCGCATTCGCTGTTGCTGTCGGAATCGTCGAGTGAGGCTGGTGGGAGCGTGCACGGGGAGGGGGACGAGGAGTCCGGGTTCGAGGCCGTCGAGTGCGCTGACGTGGCTGCTGACGTGGCGGCTGGTTACGATGCTGCCCTATTAGCTCCTAAAGAGGCTGCTTATGCTTCAGTATCGGAGCAGCTTACAGTGCCGCTTTTACAGGGGAAGGATGACGCGGGATTGGGAGCGGAAGCTCGGATTGTGATAACAGAGGATGTGCTTAAAGCGGGGATAGGAGGGAGCGGCGAGGAGCACGAGGCCATCAGTTTCTGGGACGCGTGTCGGATTCCTGGCGTTGCGGCGTACGCGTTATGCTTGTTCTTCGCTAAGCTTGTGGCGTACACGTTCCTGTACTGGCTCCCGTTCTACATCAAGCGCACAGGTGAGCCGAATTCTGCTTATAGAGTACCCGGGGACAAGCACTGTACTCTCAATTCACAACCATTAACAAGGAAAAACCGTACCAGGTAGGCAGGCAAATGAGGGGGAAAGGGAGCTGGGGATTGAGGCAGGTTAGTTGTAAGGGAGGGTAAGGGGTGATGGGGAAGGGGGAAGGGAAAAAGGGGTAGGGGGAAGGGCGGTGGTAGGGGAAGGGGAAGGGAGTGGAAAAGAAACCCTTCTGCCAACAGTCTCCTGTGACTAGTCTCCGTCTAAGGTAGTATCCTTGTCTTCTAGAGCGGTAGTAACTACCGCACATCCCCCCCGCGTGTCCTCTTTGCAGGCATGTCTCCCCAGGCCATCTCTTTTGAGAATTCTCAAAAGTGATTTCAATATGGCCATCTCTTGAACCATACAAGCGCGCATGCCACCATCTACCTTCTTCTTGCTCTCGTCGTTCTCACTCTTTTTTCTTGGCCTCCCTCTTCTTTCTGTTCCCTTCTCTCTCTCCCCGTTCTCTTCCTTGCTGCCTTCATTCCCTTCGCGAGAGCAGAGATAGCAGGGCGCCATCTAAGCGACGCGTTCGCGGGAGTGACATCTACGGTCTTTGACCTAGGGGGGGTGCTGGGGGGGATAGTAGCAGGTCATCTCTCCGACCACACAGGCGCCCACGCCACCGTTTCTGCCTCCTTCATGCTCCTAGCCATTCCGTCCCTCCTCCTTTACTCTCTCCTGGGCGGAATTTCGCTGTCTGTGCACATAGGGCTGCTTTCCCTAGTCGGTTTCTTTGTGAATGGGCCGTACGCGCTTATCACATGTGCTGTGTCCGCTGATCTGGGGCAACACGCGTCGCTCCGAGGGAATTCCAAGGGGTTGGCTACGGTTACTGCGATTATTGATGGTACGGGGTCGTTAGGGGCTGCTCTGGGTCCGTTTTTAACGGGGATAGTGGCAGAGATTGGGGGAGGAGGCGGGGGGAAAGGAGCTGGGGACCTGGGGTGGAGGCTGGTATTTGCAATGCTGATTTCGGCTGCACTGGCTGCGGTGTTGTGTATACTCCGATTAGTAATAGGCGAGTTTAAAGCAGCAGCAGAAACGTCAGCCGCGTTAGATGCTTTCTTAGAAGCAGAGAGGCAACAGCAGGAGCAGCAGCAGCAGCAGGGGAGAGAAGGAGAGCAGGGGGTAGAGCAGAGAGGAGCGGAGAGAGGCGAGCAGAGAGGGGAGCAGAGGAGGGAGCAGAGGGTAACACAGTGCAAGAGCAGGCGGGTGTGGCACCACTGGTGGCGGAAGAGCGGAGGTTACTGCTCCACGTGCTGCTGCTGCTGTGTGGTTGCCCGCTGCTGCAGCTGCCCTCCCCTGCCAAGGTACACACTCACGACTACCAACATCACCCACAGGAGCCGCAGCAGCAGCAGCAAGAACAGCAAGAGCAGCAGCAGCAACAACACCACTAGCAGCAGAAGGAATGGGATGGGGGACGGGAGTGGGGTCAGGGCAATGAGGTCAGTGCAGAGCAAGAACTCCAGCAGCAGCAGGAGGAGCAGAAACTACAGGAGCAGCAGCGGCAGAGCTAAGATGTAACACCAGTCCTCATTGTTATACTGGGTTTGCAAATTTCGTACCTTTTCACAGGTTAGAGTAGGTAGGGACACCAAGGTTGCTACTCAACCGACACGCGTCTGCATATAATGCTGATTTGTACATAGATCTACTAGGTTTTGAGTTTGTGTTATCCCATATCCCAGTGCAGAGTAGAGTAGTGTAGATTCTGTTGAGCTGAAAGGGCTCATGTGCATGAAGACAGGAATCAATTACAACAAAGGAAATTATAGACATGTAATAGTGGATGTCATAAGGTTGTACTTGTGTATGATAAGAATCATTTATCACATAAATATACAAAATAATGATGGCACAAGGTTGTAGCACCTCGGAAATTGTCACAAAAAACGCGACTTTAACAGTGATATTGAACGTTATAGAAAACAGTAGTACCATAAAAAACAGTAGTACCATAAATGAGGATAAATGAGGATTGCTGCAGATTACAACCACCACAAGATAAGGAAATAGCACTACAAGTGCAGCTTTTCAGAGGAACCAACCTAGCCAGGCTCATAGGGTAAGTTAAAGGAATGCATGCACTTACACATGGCGAATTGATTACTTAGATACTACAACCTGCACTACTCTAGGTACGGTAGGAGTGGACGACAGCCGGCATTGACCCACCGATTTAATTCGTAAGAAGTTCCATCTGACAAAACCCTGATTTTAACCAATATCAGCTGGGTGCATTGCCCTGAATACCCTGATTGTCTAGGGTGGAAGAGAAGACCACCCTAGAGGAGAATGTGTTGGTGAAGTGACATGACAAGCTTACCATGCTGAAGCCTCATAACTGCTCATGCTAGCAACAAACTACTATACCAGCAGCAGACCATACCAGCACAAACCTACCGAATGACCCACCAGCACCAGCACCAGATCTACCAGCACCAGCACCAGATCTACCAGCACCAGCACCAGATCTACCACCAGCAGCAGCAGCAGCAGCAGCAGCAGCAGCAGCAGCAGCAGCAGCAGCAGCAGCAGCAGCAGCAGCAGCAGCAGCAGCAGCAGCAGCAGCAGCAGCAGCAGCAGCAGCAGCAGCAGCAGCAGCAGCAGCAGCAGCAGCAGCAGCAGCAGCAGCAGCAGCAGCAGCAGCAGCAGCAGCAGCAGCAGCAGCAGCAGCAGCAGCAGCAGCAGCAGCAGCAGCAGCAGCAGCAGCAGCAGCAGCAGCAGCAGCAGCAGCAGCAGCAGCAGCAGCAGCAGCAGCAGCAGCAGCAGCAGCAGCAGCAGCAGCAGCAGCAGCAGCAGCAGCAGCAGCAGCAGCAGCAGCAGATCTACCAGAGCAGCAGGCATGGACTAGATCAGTTGGCCGGCCAGCCTTGCCTCAGCAGAAATAGCACCAGCAGCAGCGCTACACCTCTCTTCCTCCCCATCGTTAGAGGCCATACTGTCGAGGTCCAAACCCGGCTGAACGTCGTGAATCCAATCAACATCCACCATTGCAGGGGTCACCCGTCCCCTCTTTATCAGCCTGTACCAGCAGCAACAGCAGGCGCAGCGGCATCAGATGTGGAGCGGACTAGAGCAGCAGGAGCAGCAGCAGGCGTGGAGTGGACTACACTAGTCTGCCTCCCGGTCCAGGCGCAGCCACACTCGTAAGGTCCAGATCAGGCTTCACATTGTGAATGTGGTCTACAACCACCGTGGCAGGGGTCAACCGACCCCGCTTTATCAGCCTCCACCAGCAGCAGCAAAAGAAATAGCAGCAGGCGCAGCAGCAACAGGAGTGGAGTGGACTACACTAGTCTGCCTCCCAGTCTAGGCGCGGCCACACTGGTGAGGTCCAGATCAGGCTTCACGTCGTGGATCCGGTCTACAACCACCGTTGCAGGAGTCATCGGCTTTCCTTGAACCGCCGCTACCAGCAGCAGCAGGTGTGGAGTGGACTACACTAGTCTGCCTCCCAGTCTAGGCGCAGCCACACTGGTGAGGTCCAAATCCGGCTTCACGTCATGGATCCGGTCTACATCCACCGTTGCAGGAGTCATCGGTAGGAACCTCTGAGGCGCCACAAAGATCGACCCTCCCCCAGTGCTGCTGCTGCCCGCACCGCCACCCCCACCACCCCCCCCTGCTTCTTCTGCTTCCATTCGTCTCAGCAGGCTGTATCTGCTTAGGGATTTCGTGAAGAACCTCGGGTTAGGTTCGGGCCGAGCCGCCATGGCAAAGGTGTGGCTCCTGCTTCGGCCGTACGTGGCCTCTCGCATCGCCTCCATCATCTCTTCCGAAGCTGCGCCTCGGGCTGCTGGACCAAAGCCCTGGCTCATGGTCATTGCTGCCAGCAGCGCTTCGCCTGCCAACGGCCCCGAGCCTGCCGCGCCCGAGCCTGCTGCCGAGCCTGGCAGCTTGCTACGGTCGAGCGGGCTTCCGAAAGCTCCGGCAACATCCACAGGGCGTTTTCCCGCATTACCCCCCATGCGAAGGGCGTTTTCCAGACTCTTCCGGCTGGTGCCCATGCCGCTAGCTAGCGCCCTACGAGCAGCGGCAGCAGGAGATTCAGCATCCTCTGTTGCTGAAGCATCAGCAGTGGCAGGCCTCCCTCCGCTGCTAGACGGTCGACTACCACCACCTCCCCCAGTCTTAGATGCCAGAGGAGCCAACAGATCGTCCTTCTCTTTCTCATGCACCTCCTCCTCTTCCTCCTCTCCCTCTCGCTCTCCCTTCTCTCCCTCTCCCTCCTTCACTCCCTCTCCCTCCTCCTCTCCCTCTCCCTCCTCCCCTTCCATCACCTCCACCTCTGGTACCGGCTCCAGAGTCACTTCAGTCAGAGATGCCTGCCGGACCTGCCGCCACACCGGAGGCTCGGCCGAGCCTGCCGCATCCACCGCACCAGCTTCAAAACCAGCCGACCGAGGCCGACCGGTTTCCACACCTCCTAACCCCTCTGCTGCGGCAGAATCCGCGCCCCCTTCTTCTGCCCGTGCCTTCTCCTCCTCCTCCATGGCTGCAATGCGTCGGGGAAGGGTTTCCCAGTCACCCACTGTTGGAACGCTCTCAGAGAGGCTGCGACGGGCGCGGGAGAGCGAGATGGGCGGCACAACTGCTGGCTCTGCCTCTGCTACTGCCGTTCCTCCTGCTGCTGCTGCTGCTCCTTCAGCTGCCCCCTGTGACTCCACAGAAGTGGACTTGGGCAATGGGAAGCGGAACTCGTCAGTTGCAGACGCACCTACTTCCTCAGACCCAGCTGAAAGAGAGGCAACACGAGCAGCACTGCTAGCCGCAGCAAGAGCAGCACCGGTGGCAGCCTTATCAGAGGCTGTTTCAACACCAATACTCTGCTCTCCTGTCTCTCCAGTGGTCTCCCCATTAGCACGAATCACGATCCCCTCCGATTCACCCACAGCAGCAGCCGTTTCAGCACCAATATCATCACCACCAGCACCAGCACCAGCACCAGCAGCAGCACCAGCAGCAGCAGAAGAGCCGGCGCGATCAGGAGACAGCACCCTCGGCGAATACACCGGTGCAAGCACCACCCCGCGGGGAACGGGACTCCAGTCGTTGTCCGCGCTGCGGCTGGCGAGGTGCTGCAGGCCCACGAGCAGCAGCAGCACGAGGCGCTCCATCTTGAGGTGATCCACATGCTGCAGCGTCTGCAGGAGAGTGAGGTCCGTGTGGCCCTGCACCCTGCTGTCTAGCCCGAACCTGGGGCGGGGGAGAGGTGGTAAGAGACAGGAAAAGGACAAAAACGGGAGGTGGGAGGGTGGGAGGTTGGGAGCAGGAAGCAGGAGGGGTGCTAAAGCCGAAGCAGTAGCGTTTCTGGGGGCAAAGGGCGGCGGGGGGAAGGGGGGGAAGGGAGGGATGGGTAGGTGGTGCTGCAGGGCGAGGAGCAGCAGCAGCACGAGGCGCTCCATGTTGAGGTGATCCACATGCTGCAGCATCTGCAGGAGCGTCAGGTCCGTGTGCCCCTGCACCCTGCTGTCCAACCCGAACCTGGGTAGAGAAATAGATAAGGAGAATGAGAGCAAGGGAGATGGCAGGAGGAGAACTGGGGAAGAACGTGACGGGGAGCAGAAGCAGCGTCTGCAGGAGAGTGAGGTCCGTTTGCCCCTGCACCCAGATGTCCAGCCTGAACCTGGGATGGGTGAGGGAGACAGGGAGAAGGTGACAGAGGCCAACTTCACTGGACACACTCACCTACCAGAAGGGTGGCGTGGCGTACCGCACCGCCTGCTTCAAGCCATCTTGCATGATGAAGCATGAACCCAGAATTGGATGGCAGTCATCCAGAATCGGACATTCTGAATGGTCCCTTGTGTTTCAGTTCTTTTCTCCGCCGTGCTGTTCTCGACATTTTCAGGTGTTTCAAAGCCAAGTTGCGCAAACAACTCAGAAACTTACAACGCATGGATGAATCCGTTGCGACAGCACTGAACTGAACGCACCGTATTGTGTTCTTAGCCATGGTCACCAGCCAGTCCAGCACCACCTTGTTCATCTTCTGCCTCAAGCTGCCTTTCTCAATGGGGCATAAACCCAATTTATTTATTTAAAAAAAAACAAAAAAAAGGTTGTGTTGGGCACGAGAGTACATATTAGTGTTCAGTAAGAACATACCTGATTGTGTTCTCAGCCATGGTCACCAGCCAGTCCAGCACCGCCTCCATCTTCTGCCGGATGCTCTCTGTGCTCTCCTGAAGAGAGGGAGGTGGGGAGGGGGGGCAACATGTGTGTGTGTACGAATCGTATCAACAACCAGCCAGTCCAGCACCGCCTCCATCTTCTGCTGGATGCTCTCTGTGCTCTCCTGCAGAAGTGGGGAAAAGGGGTTGACATGTGTGTGTGTGAGTATGTGTTATGTGTGTGTGCGTGTGTGTGTGCGTGTGTGTGTGGGGGCGTATAACTAGCCAAACCTGCACCGCCTCCACCTTCTGCCGGATGCTCTCCGTGCTCTCCTGCAGAGGAGGTAAGAAAGAAGGTGGGGCAGCATATGCGTGTGTGAGTTTGTGATGGGGTGTGTACGGGTAACCTTGTTAACAACCAGTCCAGCACTGCCTCCATCTTCTGCCGAATGCTCTCCGTGCTCTCCTGCAGAGGTAAGCGGGGGGGAGGGGTTGGGGTTTGTGCGGTGGGGTGGGATGCGGAGGTGTATGAGTGTGTACGAGTCTTCTCGTCAACAACCAGCCAATCCAACTCTGCCTCCACCTTCCACCGAATGCTCTCCGTGCTCTCCTGAAAAGACGGCGGGGGTATGTAGGAGGAGGGCACGGGGCACGGGGGTGAGTGAGTGGATGCGGGTGTACGAGTCCCCCCAATGACCAGCCAATCAGGTACCGATTCCCATCTTCTGCTGAACGCTCTCCTCTCCGTGCTTTGCTGCATGGGGGTCTCAAAACACCCCTACCAAAACACCCCTAAACTCTCCTCTCCGAGCACATCCTTTGCTCAAAAGCACATCCAAAACACTCCATTTTGGAGAGGAGTAGGGTAGGGGTGTTTTGAGACGTCTCAAAACACGAGAGGAGTAGGGTAGGGGGCAGAGGGGGTGAGTGGATGTGCTTTTGAGTCGACTCAAAATGAACGGTTTTTTGAGTCGACTCAGAATGAGCGGTGTTTTGAGTCGACTCAAAACACGGCTCACCACACCCAGTTGCTCCATGTATGGTGACTGCAGCAGCGTGCGCTTCAACCGCCCACTAATAGAAGCAGGCAGGGCAGCGAATGCAACTTTTGAGACGTCTCAAAAGATGACTGCAGCAGCGTGCGCTTCAATCGCCCACTGATAGAAGCAGGCAGGGCAGCGAAGGCATAGAGATCAATAGATGCCACGCCACACCACACTGCACCTCACTGCACCCCACCCAGCCCACCTGCTCTATATCTTGTGACTGCAGCAGTGTTCGCTTCAACCGCCCACAGACAGAAGCAGGCAGGGCAGAGAAAAGCGCCTCCCTTTGAGTCTCCACACATGCTGGGCGCATCACCTGAAGGGGAAAGAAAGGGAGCAGCAAGCGTGGATTGGAACGATGACATGGGAGAACATCAGCTGGACTGGGGAGGATGAGATCACTGACAGAACAGCAGGGCAGTAGGGTCATCCCGGAAAAAGTGTAAGTGAAATGGAAAGCAAAGGGAAAGCAAAGGGAAAGCCAAGGGTAGGCATACCATGGTGTCGATCATGTTGACAATGTTGGCGTATTGCAGCGCCATGCCGTTCACTCCCAGCTTCCTCAGATCAGCGGCTGTGGGAGGCGTGCCTGACATGAGACGCCCCACCTTCACCACTGCAGGGGAAGGGGGAAAGGGGACGAGGGAAGGGGATGAAGGGTACAAAGGAACGACTGTTGGGGCGCCTCAAGGGTCCTCAGATGAGCAGCTATGGGAGGCGTGCCCGACATGAGACGCCCCACCTTCACCACTGCAAGGAAATGGGGAAGAGATAGATAGATGGCGGGGGAAAGGGGTAGATGAGGGTAACCGGGAAGAGTGTGACATGGATGAAATGGGAGGAAGGCATGTCAACAGCTGTGGGCGGCGTGCCAGACATGAGGCGATTTTTGAGTCGACTCATCACACGCGGATGGAATGGGAGGAAGGCATGTCAACAGCTGTGGGCGGCGTTCCAGACATGAGGCGATTTTTGAGTCGACTCATCACACGCGGATGGAATGGGAGGAAGGCATGTCAACAGCTGTGGGCGGCGTTCCAGACATGAGGCGATTTTTGAGTCGACTCATCACACGCGGATGGAATGGGAGGAAGGCATGTCAACAGCTGTGGGCGGCGTTCCAGACATGAGGCGATTTTTGAGTCGACTCATCACACGCGGATGGAATGGGAGGAAGGCATGTCAACAGCTGTGGGCGGCGTTCCAGACATGAGGCGATTTTTGAGTCGACTCATCACACGCGGATGGAATGGGAGGAAGGCATGTCAACAGCTGTGGGCGGCGTTCCAGACATGAGGCGCCCCACCTTCACCACTGATGATGAGGTAGAGGGGGATATGGGAGGGGGAAGGGTGCACGAAGAGAATGAAGGAACGTCGAGCGGACATCAGGCGACCCCCTTTCACCACTGATGTGAGTCGGAAAAGGGGTGGATGGAGGGAAGGAAAGGGGATGGATGGCGCCTAAAAGACTGCAAACCGGCAGCCGTGCGTGCGTGGGAGGCGTGCCTGACGTGCGGCAGGAAGAGGCATGTGGTAGCAAGCTCATCAGGTGCATGCAGCAAAACGCGTGCAGCAAGACTCGTGCAGGTCGCACATGGTCCCACATGGTCCCACATGGTCCCACATGGCCCCTCATGGTCCCACATGGCCCCTCATGGTCCCTCATGGTCCAACATGATCCCTCATGGTCCCTTATGGTCCCTCATGGCACTCAATGCATTGAGGGTCCATCCACCCTCATGGAGGAATATGACCACCTGCCCGAGCTTCTCAACTACCTGCCATGCATGCAGCACTAGCTTGTGGCACGCATGTACTCCCATCAGGTGCATGCATGCATGCATGTCTGTATGTATGCATGCATGTATGTATGTATGTATGTATGTATGTATGTATGTATGTATGTATGTATGTATGTATGTATGTATGTATGTATGTATGTATGTATGTATGTATGTATGTATGTATGTATGTATGTATGTATGTATGTATGTATGTATGTATGTATGTATGTATGTATGTATGTATGTATGTATGTATGTATGTATGTATGTATGTATGTATGTATGTATGTATGTATGTATGTATGTATGTATGTATGTATGTATGTATGTATGTATGTATGTATGTATGTATGTATGTATGTATGTATGTATGTATGTATGTATGTATGTATGTATGTATGTATGTATGTATGTATGTATGTATGTATGTATGTATGTATGTATGTATGTATGTATGTATGTATGTATGTATGTATGTATGTATGTATGTATGTATGTATGTATGTATGTATGTATGTATGTATGTATGTATGTATGTATGTATGTATGTATGTATGTATGTATGTATGTATGTATGTATGTATGTATGTATGTATGTATGTATGTATGTATGTATGTATGTATGTATGTATGTATGTATGTATGTATGTATGTATGTATGTATGTATGTATGTATGTATGTATGTATGTATGTATGTATAATGTATGTAAGCACCCTCGGACCGCTTGCACTCACCATCGGCACCGAAAACGTCCACAATCTGGTCATGAAGGAATATTACCACCTGAACCAGCTTCTCCACCACCTGCAAGCAAAGCAGACGGGCAGCACAGTGCAGCAAGTGCAAACAACAACACAATGGGGTTTCGAGGGGGGAGTGGAAGTAGGTACTTTTGAGATGTCTTTTGAGACGTCTGAAAAGGGGTTTTGAAGAAGTGGAAGGAAAAAGGTACCACAGTGGTGACCACCTGCACTGCACCAGCGCCTTCACCACCTGCAGCACACACTCTCCGTCCTTCTTCACACCGTGCACACACACCACCTCACACCGTCCAGACAGAGGCCCTTCTTTGTCATGGTTGATCATGAGAACATGAGGCCCCACTCACACCACCCCACACCAGCATAACTCGTCCATGGTTGTGGACCAAAGCCCTTTCTTCTACATTGTTAATCATGGTAACAAATATCACCCATATACCATGCACTCTCACCAGCTCACACCAGCCAGCCCACCTCGTCCATGGTTTTCGACCAGAGCCATTTACTCTACATGTATCGACGTTCATCGATGCTCATGATAACAACCATCACTCATACAGCATGCATGCACTCTCAAATGCACTCTCACATCACATGCACTCTCACATCACATGCACTCACACATGCACTCACACATGCACTCACACATGCACTCACACATGCACTCACACATGCACTCTCACACCAGCTCACACGCACGCACACCACCTCACCTCGTCCATGGTTTTCGACCAGAGTCCTTTCTTCTTCATCGTCTTCACTATCTTCTCCTGTGCCTTCAGCTCTGCCCGCATCTGCGCTATCAGCTCTGCTTAAGAAGAATGGGTTGAATTCGGTTGGGATGGGTTGGGTGGGTTGCAATGTGATGGGAACGGAGGGTGAGAGGGTGTCACCTTCACTATCTTCTCCTGTGCCTTCAGCTCTGCCCGCATCTGCGCTATCAGCTCTGCACGGAGGATATGGAACGGGTTCGGTTGGGTTGGAATGGGTTAAATGCGTTGCAATACAATGGGAACGGAGGGTGAGAAGGTTCCACCTTCACTATCTTCTCTTGTGCCTTCAGCTCTGCCCGCATCTGCGCTATCAGCTCTGCGCGAGAAGGGTGGGTTTGGACGGATTGGGATGAATTGCGTTGTACTAAGATGGTTGGGAATGGGTTGGGTGGTTGCAATGCCCATCTTTCCTGTGCCTTCAGCTCTGCCCGCATCTGCGCTATCAGCTCTGCGTGGAACATGCGGAATTGGATGGGTAGGGTTGAAATGGGTTGAGTGGGATGCGACGGAAATGGAGGGTGAGAAGGTGTTACAGTCAATAAAAAGTGCCCAGCCCGTCCCTCTTCACTATCTTCTCCTGTGCCTTCCGCTCTGCCCTCATCTGCACTATCAGCTCTGCATGAGAAGACGGGTGGGTTGGGTTCGGTTGGGATGAGTTGGTTGAGTTGAATGAGTTGCAATGCAATGGGAACGCAGAGTGAGAAGGTTCCACCTTCACTATCTTCTCCTGTGCCTGCCCTCATTCTTGCTTGCATGCGCCTGCCTTATTCCCTCTGTCTGGACAACTACACTAGAATGGGTGTGGAGATCGGGATGGGATTAAGTATGGAAATGGGAAACTGAAACATTGCCACCTCTGTTGACGAAAGAGTCTGAGTCCTGCTTCATCCGTCTGTTCAGTGACTACTGCAGCTGCTCCAGTTCTGCCAGCCAACTCCTCGTGCTCCAAAGACGACTTTTGAGGCGCCTAAAAAAACATTGCCACCTCTGTTGACGAAAGAGTCTGAGTCCTGCTTCATCCGTCTGTTCAGTGACTACTGCAGCTGCTCCAGTTCTGCCAGCCAACTCCTCGTGCTCCAAAGACGACTTTTGAGGCGCCTAAAAAAACATTGCCACCTCTGTTGACGAAAGAGTCTGAGTCCTGCTTCATCCGACTGTTGAGTGACTGCTGCAGCTGCTCCAGTTCTGCCAGCCAACTCCTCGTGTTCCAAAGACGACTTTTGAGGCGCCTAAAAAAACATTGCCACCTCTGTTGAGGAAAGAGTCTGAGTCCTGCTTCATCTGACTGTTCAGTGACTACTGCAGCTGCTCCAGTTCTGCCAGCCAACTCCTCGTGCTCCAAAGCATGTCAGCTTTCTTACCCCAAACTCTTGCTTTGCCACTATACCACCCACTCCCTATTGTGCTCGAAAACATGGGAAGCTGCAACATACCTCTGTTGACAGCAGAATCTGAGTCCCGCTTCATCCATCCGTCCGGTGACTGCTGCAGCTGGTGTAGATCTGTCTACCCCTCCTTGTTCTCCCCAGCCTTCTTGCCATAAAACTCTTGCTTTGCCACCACCACCACCCCACACACTCACCTCTATTGACAGCGGAGTCTGTGTCCTGCTTCATACGTCTGTCCAAAGACTGCTGTAGCTGCTCTAGATTTGCCAATTCGTGATACAACTCCTGGTAAGGTGGGTCGGGGAAAGGGAGTGGAGGGGGATGTGGATGCAAGGAGCGGTTGAAAGGAAATATTGAGTAACCACAGCAAATACACATGCCCTTCCTGCACTCGCAACTCCCCCTCCCTGCAACCGCTGCTGCCATACAAGTCGGAACCCAGCACATGACCCCCCTTCCGTCAACTCACGAATCAACTCAAGAGTACAGAGTCCACCCTCTCACCACTGTGACCTGCGCCTGCCCTTCCAGCGCTTGCAACTCCCCCTCCCCCTCCCCCTCCCCCTCCCCCTCCCCCTCCCCCTCCCCCTCCCCCTCCCCCTCCCCCTCACCCTCAATCTTTGACGCTATGCAAGTTGTGGAGACTCCAACCCACTCACTGCTGCGACTTGCGCCTGTGCTTCCAGTGCGCGCAACTCCCCCTCCCCCTCCCCCTCCCCCTCCCCCTCCCCCTCTCCTTCCCCCTCTCACTCCCCCTCCCCCTGCTATGCAAGTCACTGAAAAGTCAACCCACTCACCGCCATGACTTGCGCCTGCCCCTCTAGCGCTCGCAACTCCCCCTCCACCTCCGCTGAGGCTACAAAGGTTGCAGCATGCATGCAACCCATTGGCCCCAAGAGCCTAAGAAAGACAAACAAAGCCACTCACCGCCGTGACCTGCGCCTGCCCCTCTAGCGCTCGCAACTCCCCCTCCACCTCCGCGGATGTCATTCGGCCCTTGGGTCCATCCATGGTGCCCAGGCTGATTGGGGGAGAAGGAAGAGGAAGGAGTGAGGGAGGGAAAGTAGGCAAGAGGCAGGGTCATTGCCTGTGCTAATTCCACTCACCCATTGGGGACGTCCGTGGTGCCGAGGCTAGTGGTGCGAGAAGGAAGAGGAAGGAGAGAGGGAGGGAAAGAAGGCAAGAGGCAGGGTCACGGCCTGTGCTAATGCCACTCGACCCTTGGGGACGTCCGTGGTGCCGATGCCAGTGGGGGGAGAGGAAGAGACAAGGGGGAGGAGGATGGGTTGAGTCTGAGAGGAAGTGACGAGGGAGGTAGACGGGTAGAAGAGAGGGGAAGGAGGGCATAGGCAGGCCTGAGGCGGGAAGGTGTCATGACTTCTCCTAATGCCAATCCCAGCATCAAACCCCCCCGAAGTCACACAGTCGGTGGTGAAAATCACATCTCAAACGCCCACAAACTCACACCACCACCCCACTCACGCGTCAAAAGCCTGTGTGAGCGAATGCAGTGCGGGGTCAAGACACTGCTTGCCCAGCCGACTCACAAGTCACACCTCTTCAGAAAAACTCATTCATCAATCGCCCATCATACCCACTCACACATCAAACTCACACCACGACCCCACTCACGCGTCAAACGCCTGTGTGAGCGAATGCAGTGCGGGGTCAAGACACTGCTTGCCCAGCCGACTCACAAGTCACACCTCTTCAGAAAAACTCATTCATCAATCGCCCATCATACCCACTCACACATCAAACTCACACCACGACCCCACTCACGCGTCAAACGCCTGTGTGAGCGAATGCAGTGCGGGGTCAAGACACTGCTTGCCCAGCCGTGCTACGTCCCTTGCCACTGCTCTCAACTCGCCCCTGTGTGCATGCGATGAAACAGGGAAGGAAGAAGTGTGAGTGAGGAACAGAAATAGGGATGACGAATGTCAAGACACTCTCAAGGAAGGCACATTCATTCAAGACACTTGCCAAGCCCTGGCCATGATCCTCGTATAATGAAACGGGCTTTTGAGGCGCCTCAAAACTTGCCAAGCCCTGGCCATGTTCCTCTCCTCGTCTAATGAAATGGGCCATTCGCAGCATCAAGGAAAGGGACAAGGTCCATACTCAAGTCATCAGTGACCGGCTCAAAACAGACACAATGCACCACACCACACCACACCACACCGCACCACACCACACCACACCACACCAACCACAAACCTGCTCTCATCCCATCCCATCCCATCCCATCCCATCCCATCCCATCCCATCCCATCCCATCCCATCCCATCCCATCCCATCCCATCCCATCCCATCCCATCCCATCCCATCCCATCCCATCCCAGTCCCCACCCCTCTCCTCCTCCCACGCACCGCTTGTCCTCGGCAGCAATGCACCAGACGTGGTAGAAGTCGTCCGACACCAGCATCCTTATGCCCTCCGCCCTCAGGTCCTCTATGCCAGCACCTCCGCCCAAAGGTCCTCTATGTGTCCCGCTTCCGCACTCACCACCGGCCCTACCACCCGTCCCAGCCCCACCAACCATCCCAGCGGCCAGCCCCACCACGTGTGTCCCACGCACCGCTTGTCCTCGGCAGCAATGCACCAGACGTGGTAGAAGTCGTCTGAAACGAGCATCCTTATGCCCTCCGACGCCAGCACCTCCGCCCGCAGGTCCTCTATGTCCCTCTCCAGCAGCGACTGGCGCAAGTTAATTGCCCTCACGAACACGTTTGCCACCTCAAACCCCATGATCTCGATTCTGGTGAGGGGTTTGGGAAGGCGGGGAGGAGATGAGCCCTCTCTCAGGTCCTCTATGTCCCTCTCCAGCAGCGACTGGCGCAGGTTGATTGCCCTCACGATTACGTTCGCAACTTCGAAGCCCATAATCTCGATTCTGGTGGTGGAGAGGAGAGACAGGCAAGGGAATGGTCAAAGGGAGGGAGGGGAAGCATGAGACGTCCCTCAGGTCCTCTATATTCCGTTCCAGCAGCGACTTCACCACTTCAAATCCCACGATCTCGCTTCTGAGAGGAAAAGGGGGTGGATGGGGAGTGTGCGCAGTGTTGGGGGCGAATGGGCTTTTGGAGCCAGCTGGGGTGGTGTGGGGAGAGAGAAAGGATTTTGAAGTCAGTTTTCAGCTCTTTTGGTGCGGGTCTGTGGCACAACAAGAGAGTAGTTTTTTTTATCGCAATATGATATCAATCTACGGCTGTCTAAATTTCGATAATATCTCAGTTTTGGAGGGACATGCTATGGATGGATGGCACCTGCAAGGACTCAGCATCTGGTACTCACTTGCCCTTAGAGCGTATGAGCTAGGGACCCACAGCCACAGGGTGCTCGCCTCCTCTGCTACAGAGCAGGGGACACCCTACAGCAGACTGCGCATGGACGGACTGACCCTCTCTCAGCCACTCACTTGCCTCCTCCTAGGACTCACGACCCAGCATCTGGTACTCACTTGCCCTTGGAGCGAATGAGCTAGGGACCCACAGCCACAGGGTGCTCGCCTCCTCTGCTACAGAGCAGGGGACACCCTACAGCAGACTGCGCATGGACGGACTGACCCTCTCTCAGCCACTCACTTGCCTCCTCCTAGGACTCACGACCCAGCATCTGGTACTCACTTGCCCTTGGAGCGAATGAGCTTGGGACCCACAGCCACAGGGTGCTCGCCTCCTCTGCTACAGAGCAGGGGACACCCTACAGCAGACTGCGCATGGACGGACTGACCCTCTCTCAGCCACTCACTTGACTCCTCCTAGGACTCACGACCCAGCATCTGGTACTCACTTGCCCTTGGAGCGAATGAGCTTGGGACCCACAGCCACAGGGTGCTCGCCTCCTCTGCTACAGAGCAGGGGACACCCTACAGCAGACTGCGCATGGACGGACTGACCCTCTCTCAGCCACTCACTTGCCTCCTCCTAGGACTCACGACCCAGCATCTGGTACTCACTTGCCCTTGGAGCGAATGAGCTTGGGACCCACAGCCACAGGGTGCTCGCCTCCTCTGCTACAGAGCAGGGGACACCCTACAGCAGACTGCGCATGGACGGACTGACCCTCTCTCAGCCACTCACTTGCCTCCTCCTAGGACTCACGACCCAGCATCTGGTACTCACTTGCCCTTGGAGCGAATAAGCTTGGGACCCACAGCCACAGGGTGCTCGCCTCCTCTGCTACAGAGCAGGGGACACCCTACAGCAGACTGCGCATGGACGGACTGACCCTCTCTCAGCCACTCACTTGCCTCCTCCTAGGACTCACGACCCAGCATCTGGTACTCACTTGCCCTTGGAGCGGATGAGCTTGGGACCCACAGCCACAGGCGTGCTCGCCTCCTCTGCTACAGCCGCTTCCCTGCTAGCCAATAGCACAAAGGGAAAAAAGGGATCAATTGTGGGATAGAGCGGTTAACAGAGAGGCTGAAGATCGCATGTGCCTGTTATACCAAATCTTAACTTAAATCGCTCGCGATTTTTGGTTTGATTAGCATTTCCAAATCCCTGAAGTTGAGCATTGAAAAGGAGCTGGTTTGGCCGGCGGCTTAGGCTGACCACAAAGCACAACTGGCTTGCTCGAAATCAAAACGCGGAAGTGGATCCAAACAAGACCCTGGTCTGGTCGCATGAAGGACCCATGCAATGACCCCTGGTCTGGTCTGGTCTGGTCGGGCTTATGCGTTTCAAGCAGCTTCTGACGCGCTTCAAAAGCGGCGGACTGTGCGAATTTGCATGAAGATACGTGCAGTGTAGGTTTAGTGACTCACGCGGATGTGGTTAGTGCAGCTGGTGTGGCAGCAGCTGCTTTTGAGTCTACTCAAAAGCCACCTCGTTACGAGGATACGTGCAGTGTAGGTTTAGTGACTCACGCGGATGTGGTTAGTGCAGCTGGTGTGGCAGCAGCTGCTTTTGAGTCAACTCAAAAGCCACCTCGTTACGAGGATAGGATAGGTGCAGTGTAGGTTTAGTGTAGTGACTCACGCGGATGTGGTTAGTGCAGCTGGTGTGGCAGCAGCGCCTGCGGGAGAAGCTGAGGACTGTTGGGCGTGGTGTTGGGAGGGGGGGGAGGAGAGGGGGGGAGGGAGAGAAGGGAAGTAGCAAGGAGAGGAGGGAATGATGTTTTGAGACGTGTCAGAAGAACTAGAGACTTCTGGTGAAGTTGAGGATTGGGTGGACTGTTCGGCAAGGTGCAGTGGCAGAATTTAACATTGAGTTGGGGGAAGCAGGGAAGGGTAGCAGTGAACAGTGTACATTGGCGTTCTGAGACGCGACAGGACGGGTGCTTGCTTGCTGATGAAGCTTGAGAGTGCTCTTGGAGAGGGGCAGCAGACAGAAAGGCGACGTACAGAGACAGATAGACAGACAGACAGACGGACGGACGGACGGACGGACGGATGGACGGACCGACAGATAGACAGACGAACGGAAGGACGGACGGACGGACGGACGGACGGACGGACGGATGGACAGGCCGACAGTTGCACAGAGAAACAGACCGACGAGCAATACAGGCACGCACAGAGAGACAGAGAGATAGACGGACAGACAGACAGACAGATGGACGAAGAAAACGAGGGAAGGGAGAAGGACGTAGAGGGAGCGGACGGGAGTGGGTGGGGTTTGGATATAGAATATTGAACAGATTGAAGCAGATGCATATTGCATATGAAGGAGGGTGAACCTGGGTCACCAATGCGGTGGGTGGGGGACGCAAGGATGGGAAATGTGGATGATGCAATGAGGTAATTGACTAGGGTTTGTTTAGGCATAATAACCAACCTGACGATAAATAAGCAAGGTTGTGTCGTCCTGGGGCACCATAGTTTCTTACAACATTAGTACCTCGCGGGATATTGAGGTACTGCATTTACTCATACAGCGTCAGTACACTCAGTACCCTAAACTCCGTAATTAACAATACAATACAACATCAGCAAAACGAGTACTCCAAACTGCGTGATTTTCCGAAAGACAATAATACCTTAAATCCGCGGACGCCTCCTGTTGGCAAGCAGTGGATACCCGTGGCTTCCCTCGGCGAGGAATCCACGCCTTTGTCGTCGCCATCGTCCGTGCTGTCGCCCTGGTCATCCCTGCGACGGCTTTTACTGAAAAGCGACGGCAGGCGACCCGAAGCCGATTTTCCAGACGTGGCATCGTCAATGCTGCGACCCGACGCTACCTTGGCTTCTAATTGCGACGTTCCGTCAACTTTCGCTGATCTATTCTCATCTTCGTTGACTCGATCTGGTAACGGGTCCTTGACTGCCGGTTTGGACTGTATACACCCCATAAGTCGCTGGCTAGGGTTAGGAGACTAATACCTTGGAGCTCAATAACGCGGCATTGTCGATTGTCGTACTCGGAGAAACGTAAAGAAGGGCATTGGTGGATATCTGGTAACTAGGAGCAACGTTGCATGCCTCGAGACCTAAGAAAGAATATCGGAGAAATAGGCAAACTCGTACCTACGAAATAAATACGATCAGGTGTGATTGTGGAGCCGCTAAAAGCAAGACTACCTTGAAATATATGCGATCGGGTATGTTGCGTCAAGCCACTGACAAACTGATTCGGGTCGCTAGGGAGGGAAAACAAGAGCATGTATCGGCATTCTTGAACCTTATTGGCAACATGTCAACACCAACAAGCGTGGCAACACCAACTAACGTGCCAACATCAACTAACGTGCCGACACTAACGGTATGCTTCTGGTCGGTGTGACTTGTAGCCTGTAGCACCAAATGTGACGGAAGATGGGAGCGACGCGAAGGCGGATCAACTGGAGCGGAAAGTCCGGCAACCTAGGCTGGTATAGCTATTGGTAGTGGTTGCTGCACTTCCTCCTAACTCCAGCCTGCTGGTGGCTTAGGTCTAATATACACTACGAACACTCCTACAACAACGAACGGATTAGTAGTTGGTTCGAAGTGAGAGGTAATGAATCAGCAGCAGGCGTGGCTCGTGGTGTTGATGTGGTGTGGTGGTGCAGCAACCTAAAGTTCACGTTCATGCGGTGGGGCACGTTTCAAAGTGGCGCATTCACATATCAGAACGTTCGGGTAGGGTAGGGTCTCAACAGAAAACTGTTGACACCCTGCACATCATACGCCGCCGAAATCACACCCTGTACTGTACGATTAAAGCATAGAAACCGCCCCAGTGATCGCGTACGACACAATCGATGGTCCACCAGTACAGTTGCAGGTCCCAATGAGGTGTCACGTTTCGCAAAGATGGAACTCTCATCAGCCTGGACAGTTCTTGACCACATCTGGAACCACCAGTCACCACCACCCAGCCAGCTCCACCCCACACACGAACCCGTTTTGAAACCCGAAAACAAGCATTTTCGCATGAGCTGTAGCACCATTCCAGCAAAAGCCGACTTGTTACAATAGAAGGCTTTTGCAATTTCGAGACAAATTACCATTTAACTTGTCCAGTTGGCCATTTATGTTTCAGACAAAAATGAGAGGAGGAAAGAAAAAAGCATGTTCCAGTACAGAAACACGAGCAGGAGCGCGCGCACACAAATATACATGCACGTGCCATAGATGTCTTGCGGTTTTTTTTTTTCTTGTGGTTCAAGGTGTTCTGACAAGGGTGTTCCTTAATTGATGATTGTACTTGACCAGGTGGGTGTTTCATCGGGTGCCCTAGTGTCAAGATAGTAGCTAGAGGTGAGGAGCCATGCTAGGGTGAAGAGGAGAAAGTGTCGAGAGAGTTTAGGCAAGGAAAGAGGGGTTTCACTATAGCACACAAGGTACATATAGCAAAGCAACAAAGAAGGTGCACCACCAACTCTTAATAATAATAACTACAGTACCTACAGCACGCAGGGTATATATTAAACATATTGTTTGACACACCCCCTTAGCCTGCGTGCGGTAGAAACTGGTGCAGCCAGCACCCCCTGAACGAGCAAACCAAGCGCTGTGGAAGAAGGCAGAGAAGTGAGGAAGGTGAGAGGAGAGGAGAGAAGAGGAGAGGAGAGGAGAGGAGAGGAGGTGGGGGGCCAGGACCGGCGGACCCGCTTACGAACCTCCTTTTACAAAGGGGAGGTGAGAGAGGGAAGGGAGAGGAGGTGGGCTAGGCGGGCTTGAGCGCGAAAGCTCATAGCGATCCCCCCCCGTTAAGAACCCCCAAGTCCCGATGAGGAGAGGAGGTGGGCTAGGCGGGCATGAGCGCGCACGCTCAATGCGATCCCCCCCCGTTAAGAACCCCCTAGTCCTCACCCCCTCGTCACTCAACCCCGTCAACCTCACACCTTCCGCACCTGTCTTCTCCCGCCCCACCCCCTCACCCTTCTGCACTTCTCTCCCCCCCCCCCCCCCTACAGCAACAGTTGCTGCAGGGAGAGAGGAAGAGGGAAGGGAGGGAGGAGTGGCAGGCTCCTAACTGCTCAGCAGACATGCCCCACAGAGCGGAGCCGTAGCGCTGAACCAGAGGAAGCCAGTCAAGGGCAGGACCGCCAACCCCGTAGGCCAACCGGACCGTGTCAGTGAGCTGAGCAAAGCACTGACCAGGGGGGTGAAAGCGGCCACAAGGGTGGCCCCGACGAGGACCTGTCAGAACCTGATAGGTGCAGGGAGGGTAAGCAGCACCACGCTGGGGCTGACGCAGCCCCGACCCCGGAGCCAGCTGCTGACGCTGCTGCTGCTGAGGCTGCTGGGAGGAGAGGGGCTGCTGCTGCTGCTGAAGCCGCTGCTGACGCTGAGCCTGGTACCACGCCGCTGCTCCACCTAGCGGGGCCGGCAGTACAGGAGACGACTGACGAGCTCGGGTGTCGCCACCACCAGCAGGCGCAGTGGAGTCACCAGCCGCTGCACGAGAGGTCTCTCCAGACGCTGCACTCCCACCACCGCCAGTCGCAACAGCACCCCCACTACCCCCACTACCTCCGCTACCTCCGCCTCCACCTCCACCAGAACCACCTTTCTTGCCCCCCTTGCCGCGGGACCGCGACGCAGTCGTAACAGCAGCTGCAGTCGCGTCAGTAGCGGCAGTGGCAAGAGAGGCAGTGAAGGTGGGTAACTGCGGGACTGTGCACCCGTGGAAGAGTGGGGGGGGCACAGCACCAGAGGCGGCAGCTACCGAGCGAAGGTTGCTCTCGACGTCCTTGAGCGCAGACTCAAGGACCTCAACTGTCAGCTCACTAGGGTGCTTCAGCAGGAGCGCGTCACGTACGGAGGCAAGGCGGTCAGGGAGGCTAGTGGCGATGAAATAGATAGTAATCGCCATGGGGGGAGGAAGCAGTGCAAGCTGTGCCTCAGTGCAAGCAGCGCGGTAACTGTCAGAATCCCAGCCACTAACCACTGGGATAAAAGGGCTTGTTTGTGTAGCGGGTGAGTGCGCCCATAACCCCCCAGACCAACGTGCCTGTAACCCTTCCCTAGGATCAATCGGGGATCACCAGTGGACCTCTGACACCCCCCCGCACTGGGATGCCCGAAGTGCACACACCGGGATTCGAACCCGAGACCTTTGCTCTGATACCATGTCAGAATCCCAACCACTAACCATTGGGATAAAAGGGCTTGTTTGTGTAGCGGGTGAGTGCGCCCATAACCCCCCAGGCCAACGTGCCTGTAACCCTTCCCTAGGATCAATCGGGGATCACCAGTGGACCTCTGACACCCCCTCGCACTGGGATGCCCGAGGTGCACACACCGGGATTCGAACCCGAGACCTTCGCTCTGATACCATGTCAGAATCCCAGTCACTAACCACTGGGATAAAAGGGCTTGTTTGTGTAGCGGGTGAGTGCGCCCATAACCCCCCAGACCAACGTGCCTGTAACCCTTCCCTAGGATCAATCGGGGATCACCAGTGGACCTCTGACAGTAACTAGCGTCGAGCGAGCGGAGGTGAGCGATCAAGTCAGCAGAGCGCTCAAACGAGGCGAGATCAGGAAACAGGAACGGGAGGAAAAGACGGCCAAGAGAGACAGTAGCGGGAGTAGAGTAGCGGGCCTTAATCGCAGTGAGGTACGCAGCAGCGGTGCGAACCTGAGTGAAGTGGACCTCCTCTGACTCAGGGAGGAGGCTGCTGAGTGCGATGCAGGCCGCAGCGTCACGCGACGTCCAAGCCGTCCTGTCAGCGCGCTGACGGGCAAAGCGAGCCGTAGCAGCATCGTCAGGGGCAGGACCTAAAGCGGCAGGCTCGGGGGGCTCGGGGAGGTCACCAGTAGCGTGCGACCAGAGGGTCTCGCCCCCCTGGACTTGACTCTCTAACAGACGGCGAGCGCGAAGGAGCCAGACGGAAAAGTCAAGAGGTCTGCCGTCAGCGTCGAAACGAAGAACTCGCGGAGTCGCCATAGCGAAAACTAACGCGAACGAGCAGGCGAGTAACAGCAGGAGGTAAGAGGCAAATTAGGGTTCAGGTGGGACTTAGTCGCAGCGGAAGAGCGGGCTAGAGCGACGGGCCAGGGCGTAGGGTCGACGGGACGGGGGAAAGGGCGGGCACGATGCGACGGGGCAGGACGACGCGACGGGGGAGGGCGACGCGACGGGGTAGGGAGACGGGACGGGGCGACGGGACGGGGCAGGGCGACGGGACGGGACGGGGACGGGACGGGGCAGGGGCGACGGGACGGGACGGGGCGACGGGACGGGACGGGGCAGGGCCGCGGGACGGGACGGGACGGGACGGGACGGGGCAGGGCGACGGGACGGGACGGGGACGGGACGGGGCAGGGGCGACGGGACGGGACGGGGCGACGGGACGGGACGGGGCAGGGCGACGGGACGGGGCAGGGGCAACGGGACGGGGCAGGGCGACGTGACGGGGGGAAAGGGCGCGACGCGACGGTGGGAAAGGGCGCGACGCGACGGGGGGAAAGAGCGCGACGCGACGGGGGGAAAGGGCGCGACTCGACGGGGGGGAACGGGCGCGACGCAACGGGGGAAAAGGGCGCGACGTGACGGGGGGGAAAGGGCGCTAGGCGACGGGGGGAAGGGCGCTAGGCTCGGCACTAGGCGCGGTAACAACGGAACCGGTACGAACGAGAGGTAGGATCAGGCTCGGGAGATACGAACGGAGAACGGAGGAACGGGATCCCACAGGATCCTAACCTAACTGATACCATGTCAAGATAGTAGCTAGAGGTGAGGAGCCATGCTAGGG